AATGTTAAAGTGTATGTATAAGTGATGATAATTAACTATCAGAAAATCGTTGTTGTATTGAAAGAAGATGATGGTCAGAGGGTTCAGGGATTTGGGGGTGAAGCAAGATAGTCCATCTCCAAGCAGAATTGCACATATAGAAGGCCAGCGTATAAGCCAGGCATCAATTGATTTTCTCACTTTCTTTGTATGGGATGTTGATGGTAATAGGTTCAAGAGATAAGAGAGTAGATCTTCAATAGATTTGGGTATCTGAAGGCGCTTATGCACATGCAAACAAGAAAAACTATGTGAGCGTGTGAAGAGTTCATTTGGATGGAAGGGGCAGGCTTGGGGTTTATTCATCAGTGAACTAAAAAGATGTGAAGCGTTCGATATGAAAAAATATGCTGAAAAAGACTTCTACATACAAGTTTTTTCGTCACTTGTGCAACATACGAAGAAGTCGCCACCTACAAAATCAACTAAAACCACAGTGTTTAGAAATTTGATTAAGAAATACTTGAACGAATATTGTAAATTATATGGCTATACCCCCTCATAGAATTGAAATAGTCTCAACAAATTGCTGCATACGAGTGTGCAAAGATAGATGCTACCTACAAAAACGACATCATGCTGTAATTTGGCAATAAGCTTAGGATGTTCGTAAATTTACTTACATAGCAAAAAGACAGAACAGCGGCAAGAAGAAAAATATTGAAAAAGCAAAAAGTGGCCGAAGAAGAGATAAAAAAAAATCATTGAAAATGAGATAACACAACTTTGCGCTCAATTGAAGTTATCAATTGCTTCAGGAAATATCCAAAATTTACCCGTGGATCAGTTAACCGAAGAAGCGATCGCACATATACGAGATTTTTGTTGGCATTTATAGTTCACAATATAAATTCAAGAACAACAACATTTATTATGACTGCAAAGCGAATCCTATTGCTCACTTAAAAGCATATTATAAATTAGCTGATTTGTGTGAACGTTTAGGTTCCAAATTATTCACATGCTTCCCATTGAGACGAACTCATATACCATGTTATGTCACCATTGACTCTATGATATTGAATAACAATATTTTGGAAGATTCCCCAAAGACCAAAACTAGATAAAAACCTTATTTGGGTAAAAGTCGTCAACATTTCCCGCAAGGCCCTAAACGATCAAGGTGATGCAATGTCACTCAAGTTTCGTGGAATGATCCATACAGATGGTATTGGGGTCTCGATATTGAAACAAAACAAGGAAACCAGCAAGGGTGGCACAAAAAACACCAGTAAACGTTTGCAAACAGACTATAACGAGTTTCAATATATCGATACAACCAGCAATCAAAGGACTAAGGAGACAAAGTCAAGGAAATTTAGGAAATTTCGTCAGCAAAATAAGCCCAAGTCAGTCAGTGATTTGGAGAAGCCTTTGACTACGCATTCCACTTCGACAATTGATCCCCAGAAGTACTCTAGAAATTTAGAAGCAAGACGGGATGCAAGTGATCTCCTTTCAAACTATTATCAAAGTGATTATCTTGGATCACTTCCTTTCAGGAAAATAAAGCTTTCCTCTTATATCAATAGGAAACAATCAGACGCCCGTCTGGCAAAGACGTTAAAGCAAAAATTCGGTGATGACTGTGTATTTGTCCTTGGCAACTGGTCCGTCAGTAATACAAAATATCACGAACCTATCAGAGGTGTTGGTATGAGGAGGATGTTGAAGAAAGAAGGGTTACAAGTATACTTGCTGGACGAATATAAGACGTCGTCGTTCTGCCCCAAATGTAAAAATAGGAGGTTGGAAAAATTTTCTCATGTCAAGAACCCTCGACCGCATATGCGAGGCAAGTATCCAGTAGTTGAGTGCCACGTCGTGTTTCGGTAAACATCAATTTTATTTTATTTTATTTTATTTTTTTTTTTTTTTTTTTAAAAAAAAAGACAGCTTCTTATATTTTCTTTTGCTAAATGTACAAATCAAAAATGTTTAGTGCCTTCTCAACTCTAGAACAGAGACTTGACTGCCATTTTGAATTTTAGAGATATTGTGTTAAGCCACAGGCAAGCCCTTGGTTGCCCCTCTAGATTCAAAAGGGAAACATCAAAACGTGCTTCAACAAGCACCATCACCTCTGCTTCCAAAAAAGCCCGCTCTATGTCTCCCGACGACGGTTCTTCTGAGGGAGGAAATACTGATAGAGTAAATGTATGATGCAGGTAACTTACATACATACACTTGATCGTCCAAAAACTGATTTTTTTTCTTTTTGTCCAATTTCCATTTTTGTTTCGTCCAAAAAATGTAATCTAAACATCTGAAAAATAAAAACTGTACTTCGATGAAAAATGCTGTTGACTTTTAATTACTGGAGGGGGGAAGGAGAGAAAAGTCTTGAATAAAGATTGTTTTTAAAGTTAGTGTATAGTAAGCATTGATGAGAGGATAAATAAGTTACGAGTCATCAAGTAAAAACAGGGATAATAAAAAATATTATAATTTAAAAGAGTTACAAAAGTAGAACTAGTGTTAAATAACACTTTTTATACATTTTGAGAAGAAGGAAAAAGAAATTTTGATCCATGTATAAATAGAATATAAAATTGCATACACTGAGTATTTTCATTTTGAGCAATAAAAGAAATGGCAATAGTTTGATTACTTAATATTAGATTGATTGATGGTAGATTAAGTAAAAAAAAAAAAAAAAAAAAAAAAAGCGGCTAATAAAGAAATGCCAATTATTAAAGAAGATTGATAGATACATTCCTTCCTCTGTCTAGTTTTTTTGCTTTTATGGAAATATAATTTGAATTGTTATGAAGAACAAAAATATAATTTACTATCCAACTTGGAACGTACATCTTCTCTCATTTCTTAATTTTCACCCCTCCTCTAATACTTATGCAACTTGGGTAGATAATGCTGAAAATTCAATGTTCCCTTTCTTATCGTATAGCCCTCTTTCACTTGATAAATTATCTGGAGCCTTTAAGAGATAATTAAATAATTTAGCAGAACGTTTATGTTTTCAAAATGTGTAATAGTATTACATATACATATATAGTTTATAAAATGCTTTATGTATAGAGTAATTTCTTTAAAAAGTAGTCTTCTGTATATCTTCTAGCTGAATAAGTAATCTACAAATGGTTGAGATTCAGTTTGTCAGAATTAATACTGCATTTCGATATCTGAGTTATACTTGTTTCAACATTAAATCTGGTTAAAAGGGTATTATTTTAACTAAAATCTCTTAAATATTAAGAGCTATCACCATTTTCAACTATGTAAAAAATAAAGTTAGATTCTACAACCTAATTGTTAAAAAAACAAAACTTTCTTAAGGATTCCCATGAGTATTTGTCTGGATATCAATGGATATAATAATTAATATTCTTGATCTGGTGTACGATCTTATTATCCCTTCATCATATATAGCTTTAATAGTCTATCCTTATAACTGTTCTAGTTGAAGTTTCTTCTGCCAAAGACTCTGGTACTTTTTTTTTCTTCAAGATATTAAATCCAGGCTTATCTTTTATATTATGAATATTTTTATCTGCTTGTATACTTGCTAATAGAATCAATTTCATTATTAAATCTATATTTTTAGTTTGTTCTTGAATATTGATACTAGAATACAAAATGAATAAAAAAGTCAATTGCTTCTATTATCTGCATACAAAGTAAGTAAAAGGTACATACAGTCAATGACTATCATCATATCAATATATAAATCTATAATAATAAGAATAGAAAAAAAATGTAATCGTTTATTTATTATACTTTATGTATTTGACTTATACATTTGTCTACACTAAACTTTCAGAGATTATACACCATTTAAACAGAAAGTAAAGAAACTTAAAGTGAATTTATACTTTACTCTTTATTCTTTTATTGACAACAATTCATTATTAATATATGCATACATGTATATGTATACATATATATGAATACGGTACTAGTATTAGAAAGGTTATGACTATTCTACACATCTAATAAAATAATATTCTGTTAGTAGAGAAATAATTCAAATAGTTGCTGTGTATCAAGCTGAGTGACTATTTAGTTTACTTAAAAATCAGGGCGGCCCATCTATTTTATTGGAAGAAAAGCGAATTTACATTTATAACGCTGAAAATAAATATCAAATTCTATCTACGTCGTTTTTTTTTTTTCCTCCAATATTATAACAGGTACACGTCAGCATATAAAATGCTAATGGTCGTTTTTTTTTTCTTCACAAATAATATAGCAACAAGAGGAACAGGTTTAATTAAACATCTATAATCTAGAACATATTATGGGATGCATGTGTAACAATATGCAGTATAAGTAATACTTGCAAATTAAATATTTACTAGTTGTCATTATGTTAATACATGATATCATCGTATAATAGGTAGCTCAGTACAAACAGATCCCCTTTCCTTTTTATTTCATGCTTACCTGTTATGAGGATAAAATTTAAGCATGACTCTTTCTCTGTATATAAAAAGTGACATAGTAGTGTTACCAAAGAAGTGCTGCTTTATTAAATTTACTATTGACACTATCAAAAAAAAAAAGTCTGTGCTTCTAAAATAAACTTGATTTTTACATATATGCAACCAAGTGTTACCTATTTACTTTAGTTTACCCCTTAAAAATAGATGATAAACAGTCACTTTCCTCTTCTCCTTAATCTTTTGTTTATGATGATTGTTATTGATAAAAGTGGCTGAGTAAGCATTCTTCTCCTTAAAATAAATAAACAAGAAGCTTATTTTTTTTTTGTTGTTATTAACATATAAAGTTTCTGATACGAAAGAAATATTATTATCTTTTTTTTTTCTTTTCATTTTATTTTATCAAGTTTAAATCTAGTATATAAACAAGAAGCACATACATAAAAGATATAAATAACTTATGTTAAGTAATAATAATAACAATAATAATAATAATCAGCAACTGTCTTATTATCAAGGATCGTCTTCTATTGCGGCAAGGTATAAATGTTCTTCTGGTTTTTTCTTTCTTTTTTTTACTTGCTTTCTTTCTTACTATTCTTCTTCTTTTTCTAACAGGATCCAAGGTTATCAGCCTCATCATCAAATTTATCGCTGTTATTATCATTCACCAAATTCATTAAATAGTAGTCCACTTTCAAGTCCTCAAATATTAAGTCATTATTATCCACCCATTATGGACACATATCATCAATTACAACAGCCTATATTATCTCTGTCTCCATCTCCACCTACTTCTTGTTTATCTATAAACAATAATAACACTATGTCAAGGTAACTAAACGGATTCACATTTCCGATCAAAACATAATACATGTGTGCTACCCATGCAGAGAGCTTGCATTTTTATTTTATTTTTTATGTATTACTGACCACACACGTATTTTTTTTTTTTTTTTTTTTTTTTTTTTTTTTTTTTTTTTTTTTTACAAAAAAAGTAATGTAAATACTATTCGCTACGATATAGCACTTGAAGGTATTATTATGTAATCATTATTTTAGATTAATATTATATAATATATTGACTTTTTTTTTTGATTCTTTATCTAGCACCAACTGCGGCATCTCAGAAAATAGATGAAACTCCTTTAACTTATTTAAATAAAGGTATGAAAAAAAAAGATAAGAATACACTTTTGTTTTATAATAGGTTCATTTATTGATGCATTTTATTTATTTAGGTCAATATTACATTATTACTTTAAAAGATAAAGATAGATATGATGGTGATATTATCAGTACTGTATCTATTACTTTTCATGAAGAAAGTTATAGAGCTAGTGCAAAAGATTATTGGAAATTCTGGTTAACTCAACAAAAAAACACGAATGATGCTAAAGCTATTGAAATAGGTAATGTATGCGTATACAACAAATCACCTTTTTCTCTCTATATTCATACCATCTATCTATATCTATCTATCTATCTATCTATCTATACATACATACATACAATCAAGACTTGACAAGGTCTAATGGTGCACAGGCTATAGAAGGAAATAGACAATTTGATCGTATATCATTCAGATGGAATGGTAAATTAGGTGCATCTGTTCAAATTCGCTTCAATTGTCTTTCAACTGATTTTTCACGCATTAAAGGTGTGAAAGGTATCCCTTTACGTCTTCAGATCGAAAGTGAACAACAACCACAACAACCTGCTACTTTACCTCATATGATAAGATCTCCTTCTCAACAAATAGAAAGAACCTTTTGTCGAATTAAACTCTTTCGTGATAAAGTAATATATATATATATATATATATATTTATACAAAGATAAAAGAAAAGAGATTTAATATCTATACATGTATCTATTTTCTCATTTAGGGCGCAGAACGTAAAAATAAAGACGATGCTAAACATATTGAACGTCAATTAGAAAAACTAAGAGGGAAAAGTGGTGAACCGCATCCTCTTTGGTTAGCTTATTCTCCAACATCTCCTATCACTCTTTTTAGGGAAATCGTATCACCTGATGAATTTGATAATCATCCTTTACTCTTAGACGATCATCGACCTATGCTTCAAATGCCCAACAATAATAATGGTCTTCTTTTACCTCTACCAAGTTCAATGAAACGAAGTTTTCATAATGATAGTCTCTTGATGGGTGTCAATAATAATAATACAATAGGTATTGATCCAAATTATATTCCACAGAGAAGGCGTCGTCTAGCAAGTAAATAAAAAATTGATTATAAATGAATACCAAACATGAAATTTATGAATTATATCTTTTTTCTCTTTTCTTTTTTCTTTTTCTTTCTCTCCTTTTCTCTTTCTCTCTCTCTCTCTCTCTCTTTTTTTTTTTTTTTTTTTTTTTTTTTTTTTTTTTTTTTATATTTATATCCATATAGAACTAAGCATTCTGGTTAAATTTCCTTCTACAGACGTGTATCGTGCCATCTACTTGGAACATCTAACAGTGAAAGAACTGATCGATAAATTGACTCAGCGTATGGAAGTGGATAAAGAGATCGCAAATGTACTTCGTAAAATCGAAACAAAAGATAAAAAATCACTGATTGTCAAAGTGGATGATGATGTCATACAGGATATGAATGAAGAACAAGATATACAACTTGAAATTGAAGAAAACCCGGAGGATACAAATACTATGAATTTAATTTTAAACTTTTAACATTTCATTCCCTCTTTATACATATATAAATAGGCTTCATCATCATCATCATCATCATCATAATCATCATCATTATATATAATAAATATCATGTAGTTTTCTTTAGTTATTTTTATTTTCAAATATATATGTATATATATATATGTGTGTGTGTATAGTATAAATAGTCTTGTTATTACTGAGAACCCATTTCTTTGGCAAGTTCTTCAGCACGCTTCTGAACGTCATTAATATCACCTTGCATGTAGAAGGCTGATTCGGGCAAGTGGTCGTGCTTACCAGACAAGATCTCCTTAAAGGAACGAATGGTATCATTGAGTTTCACGAGACGACCTTCATAACCAGTAAAGACTTGAGCAACAGCGAAAGGTTGTGAAAGGAAACGTTGGATCTTACGTGCACGCTCAACTACAAGCTTATCTTCTTCTGAAAGTTCATCCATACCCAAAATAGCAATGATATCTTGAAGTGATTTGTAGTTTTGAAGAATCTGTTGGACTTCAGTTGCAACCTTGTAATGTTCTTCTCCTACAATACGAGGATCAAGGATACGTGATTTGGAATCAAGAGGATCCACAGCAGGATAGATACCCAATTCAGCAATTGAACGAGACAAGACAGTAGTGGCATCCAAGTGAGCAAATGTAGTAGCAGGAGCAGGGTCGGTCAAATCATCAGCTGGGACATAGACAGCTTGGACAGAGGTAATGGAACCATTCTTGGTAGTCGTAATACGTTCTTGCATACCACCCATATCAGTAGACAATGTAGGTTGATAACCGACAGCAGAGGGAATACGACCCAAAAGGGCAGATACCTCAGAACCTGCTTGTGTGAAACGGAAAATGTTATCAATAAACAACAATACATCTTGTCCTTCATCATCACGGAAGTATTCAGCAATCGTTAAACCAGTCAAGGCAACACGAGCACGAGCTCCTGGGGGTTCGTTCATTTGACCAAAGACAAGAGCACACTTGGAATCTCCTTCTAACTGAATGACACCAGTTTGAATCATTTCATGATAGAGATCGTTACCTTCACGAGTACGTTCACCAACACCACAGAAGATGGAATAACCACCATGTGCTTTAGCAATGTTATTAATCAATTCTTGAATCAATACAGTCTTACCGACACCTGCACCACCAAAGAGACCAATCTTACCACCACGAGCATAAGGTGCTAACAAATCAACAACCTTAATACCGGTCTCGAGAATTTCAGGTGTAGGTGATTGGTCAACAAACTCAGGTGCATCAGCGTGAATAGGACGGTGAGTCTTGGCACTGATGGGTCCACGTTCATCAATAGGTTCACCAATGACGTTGATAATACGACCAAGGACTTCTTTACCGACAGGAATAGTGATAGGTGCACCAGTATCAACGACCTTTTGACCACGAACAAGACCTAATGAAAAGAATAAAAAGAAGTAACAAAAAAAAAGCATTAGTATTAATGTTTATGTTTATGTTTCTCTATTTTTATGTCCGTCTATGGCTTTATTTATGTTTCTCTCTCTCTCTTACTCTCTCTTATTCTCTCTTACTCTCACTCACTCACTCACTCACTCTCTTTATCTCTTCAGCCTCTCTTCATCTTTCTCTCTCTTTTTTTTTTCCTTTTTTTCCTTTTTCTATTTTTTATTCATTTCTTCCTTTCTTTCTATTTCTATTAAAGTTTACCTTCAGTACCATCCATAGCAATAGTACGGACAGTATTTTCACCTAAATGTTGAGAGACTTCGAGGACAAGACGTCCGCCAGAGTGACCTTGAACTTCAAGGGCATTCAAAATAGCAGGCAAGTTTTCTTGGTCGAATTGTACGTCAACAACAGCACCAATAACAGAACTATATGAAAAGGAATAGAGTTAACAAACATTATTTTACAAAAGCATAAATGTATAATAAAAAAAAAAAAGAAAGAAAAAACTTGTTCGGTATTCAATGCTTAGTAAATGACTCGCTCTCTTTTTACTTTTTTTTTTTCTTTTTTTTTTGGTTGATTAAAAGGCTGATCTTACCGAATTTTACCAACGCTGGCGGCTGTGGCATAGGTACGAGCTAAAATAAATCGTTTCAAGTGTTAACATTTGACATGAACTAATAATGTTACATGTTGATCTTTAAATACCTTGAGAGGCAGCAAAACGAGAAACGTTAGCAACTTGAACACGGGAAGTTATTAATCCAAGTGCACGGGAAATGTTCATTATGTTAATTTTTTTTGTTGTAAAAAAAAAAAAAATAAAATAAACAAAAAGTCAAGTTATACCCCACTAAATAAAATAAAAAATAAAATAAAATAAAATAATAAAATTGCGCGGTGATAGAATTAACAAGGGGTGAAAATTAAAGTCACTTTTTTAGTTTTTTTTTTTTTTTTTTTTTGACAGTGTGGGGTTACTTTTTAAGTTAAAAGGTTAAAAGCGTAATGCTTCTTTTAAACATTAGAATAGCAATGAAGAAAAAAATAAAAATAAAATCAAAATGTGGCTTGATACTGATTGTGTAAAAAAAAAAGAAAAAATTAATGTTATATTTTTTGAAATGATATTCTTCATTAATAAAAGCGTACCTTCATCATCATATAAGCGAGGAATAAATAAATGTTTCATTTTAATTGGATCCTTTTTTTCTTTTTTTTTTTTTTTAAAACAAATTTTTTTGGCAATGAGCATGTAACGACGAAATAAATGCGCAATATTGCTCGAGCCAGTTATAGAGGGGAAATAAGAATAAAAACCTTCCTAAAGGACAAGAAGGAAAAAGAAAAGAGCAGTATTTTGGAATGAAGAGAAAATATAAGGAGGATAAAGCGAAAAAAAGTGAGAAGAAACAATTTAAATACAAATCAGACCAAAGTGACCAGGAAGACACACACTATTACTTGGACAACCAACTCAACAGCTTGAGACCAGGATCAACAGGATTAGGGGGAAATTCATCATGGAAGTAGTAATCAAGTTCATGTAGAATTGTACAAAGAATAGGCCATAAAGTATACCAGCCCGTACAATCAGAAGGACGACGAGGTTTATGTAGTGGGAGCAAGTTGAGGAGGAACAAGATGGGATCTTCGACTGAAGTAGGCATGTAGAGATGATGATGTACATCCTTTAGGTTTACCACCAGGTAACCCAGCCAAGTCTCCATCGGGGCACTCGGCTACGTTCTGAAGTAATCATTGGTAAGCAAAGGATGGGATCCAATTCGAGAGTGGGGCGTGAGGAAGGCAATAGGATGGGGTTGAGTTGAGTTAGTGTCTTGATGAAGGGTTTAAAATTGACCATTTAGAAATTTAGCACGAAGAGTGTAGAATTATTTTCGGTCAAAGCGTAGTGATGATTGGTGAGCATAGGTGTTTTCACATTGTAGTTTGAGCCAATTTATAGCAGTTGGAATGACTATTTGGGAACTGAACATGAGGCAAAAGATGGGGGAGGGGCAAGAAGAGTATCTGCTGGTAATTGAGAAGTTAGAAAGAGGTATTGCGCCTGGAGGACTGCAATACGGGTCTTCATGGATGAGAGGTTAATAAGATGGAGCATGACTTTCACCGAGGACCGCGAGTAACCACCAAAGATACTTCCAATGCAAAAATTTTAAGAGGTATCCAGTTGTTTAATAAGTTTAGCAGAGAGAGAGAGAAGACTGATTACAAGAACATAGTCTAACTGAGAACGAACCATTCGACTATAAAAACGACATGCAAGCAGAGGTGGAAAATAGTTGGAGTTGAGGCCAATAGCAGCAAGTTGATTCATAGTGAGAGAGGCTATATTGATATTATGTTGGATATAAAATCTTTGATTTCTCGTTTTTTAGTTTTTTTTTGTCATCAAATAAGCACTATGAACATTTAAATCTTTAAATTTAAGAAGGTCTTCTTTATTCTTAGCAAATCTTATTGTTTCGTTTACATTTTCGTCAAAATCATATCATTAACCTATCTCAAAGCAGAGTCGAAAACAAAATATTACGTGTATTTTTTTTTATTATTATAATATTGTATTTTTCAGCAAATAAGAGAAAATTTCAGAAAAAATAAGAGAAAATTATTGGACAAATAAGAGAAAATTATTGAACAAATAAGAGAAAATTATTGAACAAATAAGAGAAAATTTTAGGTCAATTAAGAGAAAAAAAATGGCAATTAGCAAAAAATTTACTTATACTTAAATCTCATAAGTTTTTCTCCAGGGCTAAACACTTTTCAAAGAATCTGAGAGAATGGCGAATCCAGCCCTGGCAGTCTTTCTTAGTTACTTTGGAGCAGGCATCCATTATTCTGGGTGTGAGTGTCTCACCAGTTTCGAAAGGGCTTCTTTTGACGCCATACTTCACCTTCGACCAGAATAGCTCAATTGGGTTTAGGAATGGTGAGTACGGCGGAAGATATGCACACTTATAGCCTCTGCTTTCTATTAAGTTTCTTACTGTAGCTGGCTTATGTATGGGAGCATTATCCATTACCAAGTAAAAGCCCTTCATATTATTTCGGTCAAGAACATCCATCACATTACTCAAGTAATTTAAATAGTGCTCAGTCCTAGTTCCAACCTTAGCTGTCGTTGTAACAACCTTCCCATCTATTCTTCTCTTCTTAGCTCCCGAAACTAATATTGGCTTTCTCAAAGAGATGTCAATAATGCCGGCGCTAGAGATGGCACCAAGAATGGTTATTGTGGTGCCTTTTGAAGCAGGGACAGTTGTTTTAGCAGGTTCTCCTATCTTGGACCAGCCACGAGTGCGTGTCATGTGTAAATTGAACCCTGCTTCATCCAAAAAAACGCAATTATTCTCAAAGTCCATATTTTTATCAGCTAGCCATTGAAGGATGGTCTCCTTTCTCTTCTTAAGAGTTTCTTCCGAGTTTCTAGCAGATGAAATTTTCTCCAACTTCTTCATAGATAGTGCACAGCTGGTTCTAAGATGTCTGTATACTGCGGATGGGCTCACGGAGAGACTTGGAAATTCTTTGAGCAACAACTCGTGTATTCCAGCTACAGTTGCAGTTGAACACTCATCAACAATGTCGGTAATAAACTTTGTGTGTTTTTCAGTAAGCTCAGAGACAGTTCCCATTTTGCGCCCTCTTTTTTTCTGTTGAGGTATTTCCCCTGTTTTCTGCCATTGCAATTTGAAACGGTAAGCTGATTTCTCATTTATTCCTGTTTTTAAAGCTGCATCTTTTACAGGAACCTGTTCAATTAACAGGGAAATAAGCTTGTTGATATCTTGCTGAGTGTACACACGTCTAGCATTGCTAGCGGCGTCTTTTTTTTCGGCCAGATCTCTGAGAGGCTTCTCTTCTTTCAAATCGCTCTCACTACCCTGTACATCAGCTTCATTTTCCTCCTTATCCGAGCTATTGCTGGCCTCATCACCCTCGTACCCTTCCTTCAGCTCCATCGTCGCATCTTCATCTAACTCCATGGCTGATGCAGTGATGTTGTACTTCCACTTCTTTCTCATCATTGACATTACGCTGACAATGATTTCAGGTACAGCTTCAATGTCATCGTCGCGTAGAAAAATTTCGTTCATATCAAAGTCAATATCCATTTTTTGTTAATAATAGTGAGAAAAGTGCTTTCTACTAATTGCCATTTTTTTTTCTCTTAATTTTTCTTGGGCTTTCTCTTAATTGACCTAAAATTTTCTCTTATTTGTTCAATAATTTTCTCTTATTTTATCCAATAATTTTCTCTTATTTTTTCTGAAATTTTCTCTTATTTGCTGAAAAATACAATATTAAAGATGCAAATAGTAGTCACTCGTGTAACATTTCATTATAAAACGATATAAAAGGCACGAATGTTTAATTTCCTTCTTTTTTTTCTTTTTTTTTCCCTTTTTTTTTTTTCAGAAATGTGGGGAGCCTGTTTTATGCCGGGCTATGAATAGCACTGAAAATTGCCCCGTCTGTATAGTGCCTCCCAGGGCCGATGAAAGGTAACACAGACTCATAGAATGTTTATTGATAATAAGAACGTGACTGCGCTCACTAAAAAATGAAGTTATCATGTTATTTGGGAAAATTGATGAAAGATATTCATTCATTTATTTACTGGATTTTTCCTTCCTATATGCGGCTTTTTAATTTTTGTTTGCGTCTGTGACCAGACTGACTTTGCACTTATTTTTTTCCATTTTGCATCCAGTCACTTTTTATTTGCTCTAGTGTTTTTCTGAATTTGCTCTTTTTTTAATTCTATTTTTGCTTTACTTTACTGCTAAAAAGATGTAAAAATAAAAAAAATCATCAACGTAAAAAAGAATGGAGTAATACAATAAATGAATATAGTTATCTATTATAAGCTAAATATTTATAATAAACCTTTTGACAAATTTATTTAATTATAGATTGTTATTATACACGAAAACAAAGTATGTAAATCACCTGAATCTAGATTATCCAAATCTGACATATTCATATTAGATAAACTAACATTACCATTTTCTGATATGATAAATATACCGTTCATCCTGGCTTCATTACCACCAATAGTATAATACTTATTATTTATAACAAGCACTATAAAATCCAATGTTTGATTTAGATTCATAAACATTGTATAACAAAATTTTTTAAGGGACATCGGAAAAGTTCCATCTATACCATAAAAAGCGAAGAGAGATTCACCACTATTAATCGTTTTATTAATTTCCAGATCTTCATCAAAGTTTGGTTCATATGCAAGTTCAAAAAGGACATCTATTGTTGATTAGAATACTTTCTATATTGCCCATGTGCTCACATGTAAAGCATGATGTTCCTAATGTATCGTACTTCTTTGTAATAATTGCCTTGACGAACATCTTCCTTACTGTAACAATTTGAGAATGCAGTTGGTGATAAAATATAGAATCCTACCAGTATCTTGTCCGAGTCTTCATATGTTGTATCTGAGGTTGATGACGCTCCCTGTGGCTACATATGTAAAATGGGAATGCCTGAGCTTGATAGCAGTGACATTCCTAGTTTGCCAATAGAAACCGCAGACAGCCAACTTGCGGCATGCCCAATTATCGGCCCGAAATAACTCAATGCACCCATTAGACGTAGTCAATCGTTTAAGATTGTCTGTGATATTTGAATCTGATGAAGAACAGGCCGATACTATGGCAGACTTGCCAAACAGTGTCTACCAAAACATCAGAGAGTTTAAACGGGCTATTCTGACCAAAAGATTCTATAATCAACCTGAACCAAGTTCGAACTTCGTGGAACTATCGTTAAACAATATCCTTAGCTCAACATACCTTCTTCATGGTACGGACCGTATCAAGAACAAAGGCTCTGAGCTAAATTTAATAGCTACATCCGTTTCAACCTTTTTGTCGCCGTTCTTCTCTTCTCACGATGATGTGCAGATGGAGTTCGACTCTATTTCATGGGTGTACAAACAACAAGAAGTTGTGGACGAGAACAAATTACGTCCCGATATTTTGATTCATGCCAGACAGCATGGTCAAGTAATTGAAGTTGCTTGCGGAGAAGTTAAGAAGCCTGGTGTGTCTCAAGAGCGTCTAAACAAAGATAGAATTCGCGTATTGGAGATGATGAAAAGGCAGCTCCATATCCGATTAAAATATGCCAAAGCTCACTATGAAACAGTGACATTTGGAATTTTGGTTCAGGGTAAGATTAGAAGATGTTTGTTGTAAACTTCCTTAAAACTAAATATCTATGTTTCTTCCTTTTTTTGAAAGGTTTTTCTGTCGTACTTATTCAGATGACCCTTGATTTGACAAAAGGTGTGTATATCTATCAAGAACAACCACCGTTTCCCTTGCCAACGACTTTCGAGACGTACTCTCACATGGACACGTCTATGGAATTCATGCAAACATTCAAGGTATGATATATTAACATTCTATCGTTTTACTAATATTAACTGGTGTCACTCTATTTTCTAGGGGAAAATGATCGATTCTTTGTTGAAGCCCGAAGACAATAATAAAAGCCAGATTTGGGAAGAATACAAGGGCCATGTATGGCCAACCCCCTTCGCTTTTTTGCCTATATACCCTAAAAAAAAATAAGCTCACACTTACGTCTTCCTGCTTCTGTGGCCAATATGTTATTTTAGTGTAACTATGCTTCTTCACTCCTTTATGTCTTCTAATTACTTTCATCATGTCCAATATATTTATGAAATTTTTATGCAACATTCCATATTTTCTCCTTTATTACTTCTATGTGAATACTAAAATTAAACAATATTTAAGATATCAAATGTCGAACAGTCTTTTTTCTAATTGATTTTCCAATATTTAGAATCATCCTGAGAATGATTTTATGCAGAAAAAAAATATATATATATAAAAAAACCAAAGGGAAAGTCTATTTAAATTGTGCTTTATTTTAACAAACTTTTTTTCTTTAAATATCTAATATTGTGTTGGTCTTTATATAGTTTTCAAAACAGACTATTGTGACATGAATTGATGACTAATAATGGACGTGAGTGTGTATTTGACAATCGGCAAATATCCTTTGGATTTGGTATATGATTCCTAATATTAGTTTGTCTTGGTATTGTACTAACAGATCAAACTTATGCTTTATTTTATGCTGATTGGCTGTATCATCATTTAGCGCCCGTACATGTCAATTTCAGTCTGTATAAATTTATCAAAGTGCCTGCGGATAAACATTAACATTAAATTTTACTGTCATTCTAGATCACATCCATCTGTGGGTTCAGTTGTAAGAATAAAAGATTTATAAATTGCCGTTCATGCGTTCTTCTACAGAAATCTATTCCCAGAGTTTACCATTCAATTATGCTCAGTGAAGAAAAAAGTCAGTTAGTTATTTTCGGATAGGAAAACATTTACAAGATATACATTACTTCTTCCTGAAAGTTACGAAATGTGAGTCAGTGATGATAAAGAGACAACAATTTCATTTGCCCACAATGCATCCAGAGGCAGCACAAAATAGCACCGCACAGTAGAGAGTGGGGGTGTCACAGCAAGGATAGCCGTCAAGCTCCTGGAAATTGCTACGGACCAGCGGGTCTCATACCTTTCAAATAAGTCCTTGAGTATGCGAGGGCTGGGGTGTCACATTGCAGCCAAATGGCCACGCTGTCAAGTCCGTTTGAGCGATGCGTTTGCAAATCACTGAATTTTGCGGAAAAGATTACCATTAAGCTAGAACCTAAATAATTCAAGAATAAATAAATCACAAAGATTTGGACAGAATGTAAAATAACTAGTTTTATGACAAAAAGTATTGATTTAATCTCTTGAATTATATTCAATACATCCATAGTAAGTGGAACATAAATAACAGATGAGAAACAGTTGAAAATGTTTTCACACCAAAATTTGCTATTTAGACCTGAAGAACAAAATAGGAAATGTTATTATGCCCACCCTTCAAAATTTTTATTTACTTTATTATATTTAGTCTTCCCTCCCTTCTTTCTTATTATTTAACCGAGCTCAGAATTCGATTGATAGTATAATATTAGAATTTATTCCTTTATATATCTTTGAAATCGCTATTAAATAAAGATTCAAGAAGATTCTAGCATAATAACATTTCCTATTTTGTTCCGACAGTCTCAAGAAATTCTCTCGAGAAATTCCTTTCGATTGAGAAGTTGAGATTTTGGGATCTTGTGAAAGTTCGATCTTTTTTTATTTAAAAATATTTGAAGTTATTCAACACTTATTTTTCGTATTTTTTTAAAAACAAAACAAAAATTTATCATGTCTTCAAATGCTGTTTTTTTATCCCTTCTCTCCCACTTTGACAATGAAGCAGGTAATCTTACTTTCGCACCTATGGACGGATTGATAAATAATATTGTTGAGGAACAACAACATATTCTTGTCGTAGATAATAGTCTCTCCATAAATACGGTAATGGAATGGGAGACGAGTCATCCAGCTAGTGAACCTAACAACAATTCAACGATGCAACTTCTGATTTTTATGAAATACAGAAATATCATTTCTGAAAGCGAAGTATCTCAAGAATCAGAGGTGCCTAAAGCTGAAACACCTTCTGCTGCTCCGTCTACTCCTGTCACTCCTGTCACTCCTGTTCGCAGTAAAAGAGGAACATATCGTAAGTATACTGAAAAGCAAGTCCTGGATTTTTTCCATTTGGTATTCGAATGTGGTATGACAGCAAAAACTGCTTCTGAGAAGACTGGTATCGTCATTAGAACTGGTTAGAACTATATCCGTCAGGAAAGACTGCGAAGAGCAGCTGAATACGAACCCCCTTCTGATGTCTCTGGACAAGCAATTGAAGAGAAACCTGTGAAAACAGGAAACAAGAAACTTTTTGATGACCACTCTAAGTTCTTGGTACAACTTTATGAGAAAAATCTTGCAGCTACATTGGCACAAGCTAGGAAAGCCTTATGCAAAGAATTTGAGGGCTTGACTATCACCTTGTCTGGGTTTCAGAAGCACTTGGTGAAGAAGTGTTGTTTGACTATGAAGAAGCTTGAAAAGCTACCGGCGAAAAGATGCTCTCAAGATACAATAGAACTTCGTTGCGAACGTCTACTAGAATGGCAATCTTTAGACGACTTGGATTATTCATCTAACTGCGTTTTCCTTGATGAGGCGGGATTTAATATGCACATCAAGAGAAATTTTGGCCGCTCTGTTCGCGGAAAACCAGCAAAGGTCGAAGTTCCAACTCAACTGGGCATCACCTTAACAATGATGGGTGCTATTTGTGAGAAGGGTGTGGTGAATCTGACTTTGAAGAAGCCTGAGGAAGTGGTTTCGAAGAAAAGAAAGACTAAAGACGGATCATCGAAGAGCATCAATGGTCGAATCGGAACCCGAACAGAGCACTACTTAGAGTTTATTAGCAGTACCATGGATATTCTTGATGAGTGTAATATGCAGGGTCGTTATCTCGTAATGGATAATGCCCCAATTCATACGTCTAAATTAGTTCGAAGTCTAATTGAAGGAAGAGGATATAAATGCTTATATCTTCCTCCTTATTCGCCATTCTTGAACCCAATAGAAGAATTTTGGTCGAAGGTAAAGTTTGGTGTGTGTCGGGAGGAGCTTAGTGAGAAGGCCCAGCTTACACCAAGGATTTTGGATTCTGCCAAGAAGGTGACTTCTGCTGACTGCGAGGGATGGATCCGACGTTCAATCTCTTTCTTTGAGCGTTGTCTCAATAAAGAGACAAATTTATAATTTTTTTAATAAACATATAAGTTTGACTTTATTTTGCATTATAATTTATTGAAATATTTTATTTTTTTCTACTTATTATTTGCGTTAGAGATTTACTTTGTAATATTTTTGAATCTGCATTTCTTTAGTACTGAAAGAGTACAAAACCGTATTTTAATCAGAAAAAAAAAAAAACTAGTGCAAATAAAAAATAACTGGGTGCAAAAGAAAAAAAAAATAAGTGCAAAATCAATCTGGTCACAGATGCAAACAAAATTTTAAAAGCAGAAAAAATCCAGTATTTTCTTTTTTTTACATAAAAATATCTGCCAACAAAAAGCCTATTGTATTTATGGCTATTACTTTAGCAGTTAATGGTGGTGTTATGAATTGCTGTCATGATGTCTTTGATTTTGTGTATCATGGCATTATCATTAACAATATGGATATTATGTAAAACAGGCTTGTTAAGTGTAGATGTTGTTTCTTTCACAAATAGTAGAAAGTATGATGATGTTTTAATGCCATGTGGAAGTGCTCTCTTTGTACCATCTATCTTCTGCTTTTTTATAGACTTTGGACTTTGGAACCTGTTGAGAAACTTCAATATAATCCATAGGCTGACATGCAGCCCAAAATACTCAGATTGGTGCCTTCCGGCTGTACTTCCATTTCCACAAGTTTTCCTTTCTTAGATCAATCAATAGGACGCATCATATTTTTTTTTCTTTCTATTATTTTTATAATGTGTATATTGATGGTCAAACAATCCTACAGATGATCTACACTTTCTACTGCTTGTCAAGAATTCTTACTGGATTTAAAAAATTCTATGTTTAAACGCAAAACACTATGTAGACAATGCTTTAGAAGAAACTAATTTACTAGTTAAAGATGAGAGCCGTATATTGATCTTAGGAAGTGAAAAAAATTATTGCCAAAGCCTTACAAAGTGTATGCATCTTCTAATTACTCATATTTACTCCTCGGAGTCTATCACTTGTAATAGCTCTTTACCAAGCATTGATACCAAACTATTTTGATTAGCTAGTCATGAGGAGCTGGAAATGTTTTTACAAGAACCTGTACCAAAAGGAAAACAAAAACACAAACACTTTGAATATAAGTTTGCATTCTATATACAAGAACAATAAACATTTGTTAGACAAAAGAGAATATTATTATTATTATTATTATGTAATAAATTGTAAAAAAGAAAAGAAAAGAAAAAAAAAAGAATAGTAATTATTTTAAATAGGTATGTAGAAATGCTAACGCCTTATTGATATCATCCTCTGATAACACTAGTGTCGAACTGGTAATATAAAGATCAGGTCGAATAATTAATAATGCAGCAGGTGGCTCTGTATTCGTATGAGTTGTATTCACTAAACTTGAATGAAGTCCAATTAGACTTGTGATTGAATCATTTGAGCTTGTTGGTAAATATTCAACCCAAAAGTTTTCTGATTCTAATTTTTCAGCAATGACAATACGTTTATCATCATTGTCGCAAAGATCTTTGATATCATGCATGATATCATCTGCTAATCTATATTCAGGGACATTCCAAGTAGATTCAATAATAAGTGGACGAATTGAGCTACCAAAATTTGTTTGAATTTTTTTCCAAAATTTGGAGGTTAGACAGGAAGCGCTATACGAGGCAGGTCGTGTGGCTATCCAAAGAGCCGTATGATTTCCTGTATTACTGATAATTTGATGTAATGTTTTTCGTTCTAATAGATGCTCAGGCTGATCCATGGCTAGACAACGTTTAAGAAGTAAGGTAGATTCAGGTAGAAATTTGCCTGCCTTAATTAAAGAAGGATCAGATGCTCCTATAATACGTGATGAATTATCAATTGATGTGTGCAGCTAATATTTTATTGATTTCAGTTAAAAAAAGATTAGTTTTATTTTCTCGCACTCCTTCTCTTTCTCTCTCTCTCTCTCTTTTTTTTTTTTTTTTTTTTTTTTTTTATCATTTACCTGTAATATACTAGCCATTCCATATTCTTTTAACTTGGAGACACAGAAATTTGAAGATGAAATGAAGTATCGTAGAATAGCTAAATGAATTTTTAGCATTTCTTATATACATATATATATATGTATTTAGAGTATATTTACCCATAAAGAAACTAACACTCATAGCGAGCTCTGTAGCATTACCAGTCTGACTAATGGTATTTTCTGCAATAGGTTCTCGCTAATAAATAGAGTAGTTAGTTTATAAATATATTTATATGAAGAGAATTTATGTTTATATACCTCAATAGTATAAGAATCTAAGAGCAATTCAGGATCTGAAGATAATCCTTTTAATACTAATGACATTTTCCAAGCAAGGTTATCAGCTAAAAATATGTAAAGCATTAAAAACAAAACAGTATTCTCTCTCTCTTTTTTTTTTACCATCTTGTAATCCTAGGTTCATTCCTTGACCTCCAACAGGAGAGTGACAATGTGCAGCATCTTAATAATAACATATATATATATAAGTACAAAAGAAAAAATAAAATAAAATAAAATACAAATATGATTATAAATAATATTTTACCTCCAATCAAAAAGGCTCTGCCACGACGAAAACCATTTGCTTTACGCTCATTGATATAAAAATGGGTTAACCAAGCAGGATCACTTGCAACTAAATTTAATTTTTCTAATCTTGTTTTCAAAATTTGATTTACTTCATCTAATGATAGAGTTTCTGTCCCATTAATACCATGGGTTACATTTTTCGTAGATGGCCTCTTTTCATAAGGTCCCTTATTCGCAATCATTCGAAACAAATTGTTTTTTCTATTGTGATGGTCAAAGTTGATAGGTATCAAAAGGCACATACCTTCTGAATGATAAAAGACATTAAATTTATCTTTGATGATATCTAAATCAGGACCTGATAAGACAACATCGGCTAAAGCAAATTTTGTTTCTGAGGATTCACCATCATAAGTCCAGGTAGGGTCTCCATTTCTAACGGTAGAGTGAGCACCATCAGCGCCAATAATATATTTGCCCTGTATGCATTCAGTTGTCTTTCCATTATCTTTAGTGACAATTGCTGTGACTAATTGATTTTGTTCTGTGTAAGATACTAATTTTGTGTTCCATTCTATAGTTGTCTTTTCTTGAATAAGTGAAGCTAGGATAGACTCCGTTTTTGATTGGGGAATACTTGTGAGTTGAGGAAAGATGGTCTCTCCAACATCATCAGATTCCAAAGAAGCACTCTATTATAAATTCATCTACTATTTAGAATACAAAACATACATATCTATATTACTTCATACCTCACAGCCTTCAATAAACAATTGAACACCACGTAATACATAAGCTTCATGTAGCAAATGATGTGCTATACCTTTATTTTCAAATACTTCTAAAGAACGAGCAGACACAAAAAAGGCTCTACTTTGCTCCGTAGGACCTTCCTTTTGATCACAAATATACACTGAATGTCCTTGCATTATCATTTGATATGCAAAGAATAATCCTACAGGTCCTGCCCCACAAACAATTATATCATATTTTTTATTTACTTTTTTGTCGACCATTCTTAATCACAAATTGCTAGGAAAGAAGAAGAAAAAAAAAGTACAAGAAATAAACAATAAAAAAAAAAAGAAAAATTAAAAGAGTATGTTTGTGTATAAATAAAAAACAAAATAGTTTCTATTTTTTAACACATAATTAGCGGTGTTGCTTTATATCCAACTTTCGTCGGTGTGGAGTTCCTGATTTCTTATATGAAAAAAAAAGACCCTTATTTCTTACATAATATGTAGTAAAACAAACCATTCTTCAAAATACAACTTTTTTTTTCCATTTGAATTTAGTTTATTATTATTACAAGAAGATCTTTACTGTTTTGTTATATATGCTTCGTAGTTTTATAATAATACATGCTGCTGTTGTTTCCATTGATACTATGAAAAAAAAAAGAAATTCGGATATTTAATTGTTGTGTCGGCTATGGCCTCCTGTAATAATAAACAATTCTATTATATGTGTTTCTAAAACAATACATATTTTTTTTTTCTGTTTTTCTTTTAAATGACAAATAACAATAAAAGGTTGATTTACTGACTGAGTTTCTAATAAAATTGACTATTTATCATGAAATCACTAAAATAAGCTTTTGAATGCACTCAATTCATAAACAAAAAGCAAAAATAAAAAAAAAAGAAAAAGAAAAGCGTTATAAATATGTGTTTATTTTTGATAAAAAGGAGTATATAAGAGAGTTAATAAAACTTTGTATTATACAATTACTTTGACAAAGCACTTTGAAGAGCTTCATAAACTTCAACTTCAACCTTAGCAATTGCTTTCTCCTTATCAGTAACTGCACTACTAGCTTGACGTTGAGCTTCAGCAAGACCTGCCTGAACACGCTATATATATGCATATAAAATAAATAACCTCTTCTCATTCTCTCTTCCTTTCTCTCTCTCTCTCTCTTTTTTTTCTGCTTTCTATCAACGTTTTTCATTTATTTACCTCAAGGGAAAGTTCTTCAAGAGGAACGGCTTCAACAGCATTAATATTAAGAGAATTGTCGGGATTAATAGTAGCAAAACCGCCAGAAACTATAGAGAAAAAATAAATAAATTTAGCTATTCTAAAAAAAAAGAGGGGATGAGAAGGGGAAAAAATTAATCTTTTAATGTACCAAAAAACTTCTTGGTAATTTCAGAATTTTCGATAACTTCAACAACACCAGGATTTAATTGTTCAATGGTAGGTACGTGATTAGCAAGGATACCCATGTCACCAGAAGTAGCAGCTAAATTTACTTGATGAACATCGGTAGCCTTATAAATAGCCTAATTAAAGAGAAAAAAATACATTAATTCAATCATCAGTGTGGTAAATACATTACAATTGATTTACCTTGTGAGGAACAACAAAGGTCAAACGAAGAGCTTCGGAAGCAGCGGGAGCTTCAGTGGCATAAAAGCGGGCTATATATCAGATAATTATTATTATTATTATTATTATTGCCGTTGTTTTTAGTTAGTGCGCCTTAATTATACATGTATTTTTTTTTTTATTTAATTTTACCCATAGCAAGAGGCTTAATGGCAGTACGGGCAGATCTAGCAAGAATGTTCATTGTTGTGTAAAAAAAAATCTGTGGGGAAAAAAAACTATTTCATATTGGAGTTATAGGGTTTGTTAATTCGAACTTGAGGACTTTCAAAAATTAAGGGCAAGGTGTGGTGATAGGAAGGGGGAAGCTAATTTCACCCCCGGAAGATGACGTAAAAATATCTTTTTTTCTTGTTATTATTCTACATATATTGTGGCTTGTTCTTTTGGATCATCATCATAAAGCGTTCTAATAAAGAAAGTAAATACAGATAACCATGTATATAAGCATAATATAAGTGAGCAATTATCTTTTTTTTTTTCGCATTACATATACCAAATGACTACGAAACCATACACATAATAATAATAGAATAGAATTAAAGATAAGGTCTTTTATACAAACTGAGTGATGCTTCTGTCATAGTTTAATATCCTCCTTATCTTATAAATTATTGATCTTATGTTTACTGTTTAAACTATTCCTCTCTGCATCATTGAATGTCAAATTCTTAATACTAATTGAGTTTTAATTTTTATAAGCTTGACCCAAAAAAAAAAGTAGCTATACCATAAAGTTGGTAAACAAAAATGAGGGGAGGGGTTAAAAAAAAAGGAACAGGGGAAATATTATAAGCCCTATTATTAGTTTATTTTATTTTTTTATTTTTCTAAGCTTTCTCTCCTTTTCTCGGTAAAGCTATGTTTATTTCTCGTGCTCTAAGCCGCGTTGCTTCAAACGCATTTCGTCTCCAAGCCAATCCCTTAGCTAATCAAGCTATTCAATCAGGTATACATACATTTGAAACATTTCAATCTTCACAAATGTTAATGTCTTTTTTATTTTAGCTCGTACCTATGCCACAGCCGCCAGCGTTGGTAAAATTCGGTAAGATCAGCCTTTTAATCAACCAAAAAAAAAAAAAAAAAAAAAAGAAAAAAAAAAGTAAAAAGAGAGCGAGTCATTTACTAAGCATTGAATGCCGAACAAGTTTTTTTCTTTCTTTTTTTTTTTATTATACATTTATGCTTTTGTAAAATAATGTTTGTTAACTCTATTCCTTTTCATATAGTTCTGTTATTGGTGCTGTTGTTGACGTACAATTTGACCAAGAAAACTTGCCTGCTATTTTGAATGCCCTTGAAGTTCAAGGTCACTCTGGCGGACGTCTTGTCCTCGAAGTCTCTCAACATTTAGGTGAAAATACTGTCCGTACTATTGCTATGGATGGTACTGAAGGTAAACTTTAATAGAAATAGAAAGAAAGGAAGAAATGAATAAAAAATAGAAAAAGGAAAAAAAGGAAAAAAAAAAGAGAGAGAAAGATGAAGAGAGGCTGAAGAGATAAAGAGAGTGAGTGAGTGAGTGAGTGAGAGTAAGAGAGAATAAGAGAGAGTAAGAGAGAGAGAGAAACATAAATAAAGCCATAGACGGACATAAAAATAGAGAAACATAAACATAAACATTAATACTAATGCTTTTTTTTTTGTTACTTCTTTTTATTCTTTTCATTAGGTCTTGTTCGTGGTCAAAAGGTCGTTGATACTGGTGCACCTATCACTATTCCTGTCGGTAAAGAAGTCCTTGGTCGTATTATCAACGTCATTGGTGAACCTATTGATGAACGTGGACCCATCAGTGCCAAGACTCACCGTCCTATTCACGCTGATGCACCTGAGTTTGTTGACCAATCACCTACACCTGAAATTCTCGAGACCGGTATTAAGGTTGTTGATTTGTTAGCACCTTATGCTCGTGGTGGTAAGATTGGTCTCTTTGGTGGTGCAGGTGTCGGTAAGACTGTATTGATTCAAGAATTGATTAATAACATTGCTAAAGCACATGGTGGTTATTCCATCTTCTGTGGTGTTGGTGAACGTACTCGTGAAGGTAACGATCTCTATCATGAAATGATTCAAACTGGTGTCATTCAGTTAGAAGGAGATTCCAAGTGTGCTCTTGTCTTTGGTCAAATGAACGAACCCCCAGGAGCTCGTGCTCGTGTTGCCTTGACTGGTTTAACGATTGCTGAATACTTCCGTGATGATGAAGGACAAGATGTATTGTTGTTTATTGATAACATTTTCCGTTTCACACAAGCAGGTTCTGAGGTATCTGCCCTTTTGGGTCGTATTCCCTCTGCTGTCGGTTATCAACCTACATTGTCTACTGATATGGGTGGTATGCAAGAACGTATTACGACTACCAAGAATGGTTCCATTACCTCTGTCCAAGCTGTCTATGTCCCAGCTGATGATTTGACCGATCCTGCTCCTGCTACTACATTTGCTCACTTGGATGCCACTACTGTCTTGTCTCGTTCAATTGCTGAATTGGGTATCTATCCTGCTGTGGATCCTCTTGATTCCAAATCACGTATCCTTGATCCTCGTATTGTAGGAGAAGAACATTACAAGGTTGCAACTGAAGTCCAACAGATTCTTCAAAACTACAAATCACTTCAAGATATCATTGCTATTTTGGGTATGGATGAACTTTCAGAAGAAGATAAGCTTGTAGTTGAGCGTGCACGTAAGATCCAACGTTTCCTTTCACAACCTTTCGCTGTTGCTCAAGTCTTTACTGGTTATGAAGGTCGTCTCGTGAAACTCAATGATACCATTCGTTCCTTTAAGGAGATCTTGTCTGGTAAGCACGACCACTTGCCCGAATCAGCCTTCTACATGCAAGGTGATATTAATGACGTTCAGAAGCGTGCTGAAGAACTTGCCAAAGAAATGGGTTCTCAGTAATAATAAGTTAGGCGTGCAGTGCTGATATCTATGTTTGTATGCGTGTGCACTTACAACAAATAAAGAAAAAAAAATAATCTTTCTTATTTATTGTCATAAATATATAATCATATCTATGTATTTATTATATTACATTAGGCTGTCAATTTCGGGAGCACAAATAAAATATATAATGATGACCATTGTATTTAAAAGAAAAAAAAATATTATATATTATCATATACCGACTATATAAAAAGTTATAACTTAAAGATTCACACGTATAAATATGCATAGTAGATGCAATATAAAAATTGAACCCTTAAATACTCCTCTGCCATAAATATCTTATAATGATATAGATAACTTTAGTATTGTTAAGTTTCTTTTTTCTTTTTATATGGCATATAATAATTTCTTCTCCTTTCATTACATTTTGAAGGTGAACAATTCTAATTTTGAAAAATACTTGTATTATATTTATGAAGAAAAAAAAAATAGTAATATGTAGCTGTACTGGTAAGTAAGCATAGTTTATAAATTAAACTATGCCACGATTTCTTTTCTGTATATGTTTATATTGCAAATATTATAACTGTAATATATATATATATGCATATATGTAAATAAAAGAAAGCCAAATGCAAGTAAATATCCTATTGTCACTTTTCTGGATTAGTTCATTCATTCCGATGATACCTCTCCTCCCCCCTTTTTTTTACAAGCCTCTGGAACGCACATAAGTTAAAATATATAAGAAAGGGGCCCCGAAATAGTAGTTTATGGAAATAAACGTATAAACAAGTAAAACTATCGAATATATTCTGTATAAATATACTACATAAATTTTGATTTATTCTTTCTTTCCCTTTTTTTTTTCTTCTTCTAACTCTTTAATTTTATATATTTATATAAAAAAAATGAAGATTTCAGCAACTATTTTAATATTGACATGCACTATCAACTCAATTTTTGCATTAAATCCTATAGTCATTAAAGGGTCAAAATTTTTTGATTCCGTAACGAAAGATCAGTTTTTTATTAAAGGGTAAGAAAAAAAAGAAATACAAAGAAGGAGAAGATTTTATTAATTGGTTATATATTTTTAGTGTGGCCTATCAGCCCAGAAGTCAATGGATAAATAACACAACAGATCCCTTAGTTGATAAAGATGCCTGTGAACGTGATGCACAACTTATGGCTGAACTTGGAACGAATGTTCTCCGAGTTTATGAAGTAATGCTTTATGATATATACGTATATATGTATAAAAAATAATAACAATTGTATAATAGGTCGATCCAAAAAAGAATCATGATGCTTGTATGAAGGCTTTCGCCGATGCTGGCATTTATTTATTATTAGATATCGCAACTCCTCATTTCTCAGTGAATCGAAAAAATCCAGAATATGATATTCATCTTTATAATGCCTATAAGGCTTCTATAGATGCATTTATAAAATATGACAATTTATTAGGCTTTATTGCAGGTAATGAAGTAACGAACGATAAAACAAATACGCAAGCATCCGCCTATGTCAAAGCTGTTATTCGTGATACGAAGCATTATGTAAAGAGTATCAAATCAAGATCTATCCCTATTGGTTATGCAAGTAATGATGATGAATTTATTCGCGATGCTATTAAAGATTATTTTAATTGTGGCGATATAGAATCTCAAGTAATATATACCTATATTTCCTTCCCTTACATTTTTCCCTGCTAATATTTTATTATTATTATTAGGCGGACTTTTTTGGTCTTAATCTATACGAATGGTGCGGCGCATCATCATTTGAAAGGTCAGGATTTAAGGATCGTACAAAAGAGCTCGAAGGGTACAATAAGCCTGTTTTCCTTTCAGAATATGGCTGCAATCTAATAACACCTCGAGAATTTTCTGAGGTTTCTGCTATTTATGGACCAGAAATGACAGGTGTATGGTCAGGCGGTATCGTCTACGAATGGACACAGGAAAATAACCGATATGGTTTAGTCAAGATTAAATCTTCAGGTGAGGCAGAAAAAATGGAGGATTATAACAACCTTCAGGAACGTATGGCTAAAGTTAAGCCCCATGGTGTCAGGATGGATGATTATCATGATGAAAAACCAAATTCAAATTGTCCCTCAATTTCTGAGAATTGGAAAGCATCTAATGAACTACCTCCAACACCCTCTGAAGGCGCCTGCCAATGTATGATGGAAAACTTACACTGTGCTGTCTCAGATAAAATCAGTATGAGTATGGATGGTAATAATACAATTGGAAAACAATTGGATACGATGTGTGGTGTAGTTTCGTGTAGCGAAATTAGTGGAGATGCTGAAAACGGTGTTTATGGCGCATTTTCCTTTTGTTCACCAAGGGAGAAGCTTAGTTGGCTTTATAATTTGAAGGGTATAGAGATGAAGAAATTATCACCTGTAGGATTTTGTGATTATAATGGGTTTGGTCAGATGAAGTCGCCTGTACGTAACAATTTTAACGAGTGTGCTAAAATTGCTCCTAACATGAACAGTAATTATTCTGAAGAAATTACTAAATCAACTTCAAGTGCTTATAAGAAGAATAATAATGGTGTTTTTATTACTTCAGCTCTATGTATATTGATTGTTGCTTCCTTTATATAATTCAGTTCCGCCCCTTTTCTTTTTTTTTTTTTTTTTTTTTTTTTTTTTTTTTTGCAGAATATACATATATTTCATCATCATTACATATAAAATTTTATTGTTCACATTTTAAAATAATAATAAACAGTTTAATATCACATAGCGACAGAAAATGCAAATAATCTAAGACAGTATATCATTATATGAATGATGATAGTCATAAACTGTTAAAAAGTTAATAACTTGTTATTGTTATTTTTTATACATATCTATAACATTTATGTACATAGATCAAATTATTCTGGATACGTATATATGTAAAATGATTCTATATCTAATATCCAAACAGTAATTGTGTATTTTATTGGAATAAATACTGCGAAAAAGTATATAAATGTCTAATAAAATAAAATTTTATCAAAAATAAGAAAGTGTTTTTAAACATGATATAAATAATTACTAGATATTGTATGCGCACATTATCCATGTTGTATATAAACTCCTCTTTTAATGCATTATAAATAAAATAACCCTATATCATTATATTCATTCATTTATACACTATAGCTTTACATTTTATTTTATTTTTACCTCTTTTCCTTTTATTTTCTCTTCTATTTTTAAAAAATATATATTCAAACTATTAGATACCGTATCATCTACAACAATGTCATCAAAACAATTTTTACAAAAAAAGGAAAATAAGTTTGGACCCTATAAATTATTACTAACTTTAGGTGAAGGTAAATTTGGAAAAGTAAAATTAGGTGTTCATGTTAAAACCGGTCAAAAAGTAAAGACGATAGAAAAGAAAAGACTTGTTCATGTATTAAAGATCTTTCTTTACTTTAGGTAGCAGTAAAACTTATTTAAAAAGAAAGCATGGAATCAAATAGACATATAAATAAAGTAGAAAGAAAAATTTCTGTTTTAAAGGTATATTTCAAATATTATATGAAGTTATGTTTATATGTATTTAGTACCGTTATTTTTTTTTTTTTTTTTTTTTTTTTTTTTTTTTTTTGAAGATTTTAAATCATCCTTATATAGTTAAACTATACAATGTAATAAAAACAGATAAGTTCATTGGAATTATATTAGAATACGCATCAGGTAATAATGTACGGCATTCAGTAAAGCTCTATATTTATATACTTGCGTGACATATCATATAGGCGGAAAATTATTCAAGTATATACTGGAACATAAATATCTAAAGGAAAAAGATGCCAAAAAGCTCTTTGCACAATTAATCAGCAGAACTAAATGTAGTAGTAGTAGCCAATCATCAGCAAGATATACCTATCACTAATAATAGTGATAGCTCTACTATACAAGACAGCTCTGAATTAGAATCCAGTACTAACAGTATCCTCTATCATCATGATTCTTGTTTGATTACCTCTCGTCTATAACAATTTAAAAATATACATTCTGATTTAACAACTACCGATGTAACTTCCAACAATATGATTTCTTCTTCCGTTCACAATAGTGTCAATCCCTCTAAAAAAAAAGCATCAATGAATAAACAATTCTTATTTTCCTCTCTTAAAGTTGAATTGTCTCTAGTTTCTCCTTCTGCTTCTGTAAATACGTATGATTATAGTAACAATAGTTCATTTGTATCCCTTTCTGTAGCAGAAGCATAACAACCTAAAATAACTTCTTCACACCAACTATTATTTAAGACTACTGATAGAGAACATGCTTCATTTGAAGCTATTCGTCAAAGCACTTATCGAAAGGATCATAGTAATTCTTCCTTTGCATCACTCAGAAAAGATATTAACCTCAATAGCTTTTACCTAAATGAAAAGAAGACAAGGAAAACTTCACTTATGAAATGATTTAAAGAGAAAATTCACCGTAAAAAAGCTAAAAAAGGTATTACATGCATTGAACAGGCATTAGAGGAATTTGTAGAAGCATCCAAAGTATATAAAAACGCCAATATGAAACAGTTACCTATCATTCAAGACAAAGAATGTACATCATTGATTGCTTTTTTGTAACAAAGGCCTTTGCGTAATAGACCAACAATTGAAATTAATCAAGTTTCTTTGCGTTGTTTTACAGATAGTCAAATTAGGATTTATCAGGAAGAAGCCGTTAAACGTACTGTTAGAAGTTTTAGGATGCCAATCTTACTTTTTAACGATACAATTCATATCATGAATGTTTTGAGCATTTATCTCAAATTGAATAACCTGTTTATGTTAAAGAATTACTACTGAAAAACCAAGAAACTTGCGAATTTTAAGAGATACAATATTGTTAATATGATCAAACATAAGGAAAATAAACATAAGATCAAAGAGGAAAACTGGAAAGAAGATCAAAATAATCAAAAAAAAGTTTAACATTATAAACAGGGAAATAAACATTTTTTTTTAAAAAAAAAGAACAACTTCAGAAAGAAATAAACGACATTATTAAAAAGGGGAATATTATAAATGAAGCTAGTTCTTCTACTATTACACCACTCATACCTTTTATAGATCATAATGTCTCTACCACGACAGGCTTTAATATAATTCAAGATTCTGAACCTATTTATGATACGCCTTCTATAAATAATGGTACTGAAATTCGAATTATAATTGAAATTAGCCTGTTAAAGAGTTTACAAGGCTTTTATGTTACAAATATACGAAGGCTTTAAGAGAGTGTTTATGCTTGAAAGTTTTTTTTTTTTTTTTTACATTGTAAGTGAATTATTATTATTTTTTCCCTTTAAATATAAAACTTCTAAAACTTAAATTATTACATGTCAATTTTTATCTGCCGTATATTTTTTTATAAGTTTTCTCTTTCTTTTCTTTTCTTTTCTTTTCTTTTTTTAACCATTTAAACCAAATCATTTTTAACTTATCTTCCCTATATTCTATTATGTGCTTTACTTCTAACAGAAATGAATTCATAAATTTTTGGCCTGAGTGAACTTTTGCTTCTGGAAGACTTGTGTCCAAAAAAGTCACACGTGACGTTAACCAAAATACCCAATCAAATTTGTTATTCTCGAAAAATTTTATTTTTTTTTTTTGAACAATAAATAATTTTTTTCATCTGGCAAGCCTATCGTTCGCCCTCTCTCTCTTTTGTATACAATATATTTGAACAATGAAGCATCTCGCAGCTTATCTTCTTCTTGTTGCTGGTGGTAATGCCACTCCTTCTAACGATGATATCAAGAAGGTCTTGAGCTCTGTCGGTGTTGAAGTTGACGAATCTCGTCTCTCTGCCTTGTTGAAGGCTATGGAAGGCAAGACCGCTGCCGAGGTAAAATATTAATTCATTTGACACTATTAAAAGTCTTAACTCAAATAATAATAATAATAATAATAAAATGAATATCTTTTATATAGGCCATCGCTGAAGGTTCCTCCAAGCTCGCTTCCGTCTCTGCTGGCCCTGTTGCTGCTGCTGGTGCTGGTGCTGCCGGTGCTGCTGCTTCTGGTGAAGCTGCTGCTGAAGAAGAGAAGGCTGAAGAAAAGGAAGAATCTGATGAAGTAAGTATAAGTTATATATATAAATAAATATATATGAAAGACAAGGTGCTAAAACTAACTTTTCTATTTAACAGGATATGGGTTTCGGTCTCTTCGATTAAGCAATTTCCAGTCATCATTAGTTAAAATTATAAACCGTACTTTTTTCCTTTCTTTTACGAGCAAACTACTTTAAAATAAAGGAGAAATTTTACTTTAAAAACGCGAAAATTTACACATTTACATCTTGGTGACAAGAAATGTGCACTTTGAGGAATGAAGGAAAAAGAGTGGCTTAGATTCTTAATATGTCAATTGCTTTTATCATCTATATCAATATTGATAAAATTATGAAAAAAAAAAAGAGAGGGGGACAAATCTAGAAAAAATTGTATTCTTTACTTAATGTATTATCGTAGTTTATACAGTATCCTTTAACTTGAGTAGTATACATTTACAACTCTTACTAAAAAGATACAATATATAAAGAGAAGTATATTGTGGCTTAGCAGTTCAGTGTAGTACGTTAAATCATAATAAAAAGACCTTTTCAATAAAATTCTCTGAAATACACATCTGTATTCAAGATGTTATTGAAAGATACTAAATATACGGTACATTTTATCTTTGTGATATATCTACGTAATATATAAATACATTTTGTGCATTTCTTATAAAGTAACTTCATTTAAGGAGGGAGAAAAGGCTAAAAAGGTTAATGTGACCTTTATTGATCTTAGTGGCTTATGAGATGATGTCATCGTTAAAGATTGCAAAACCTCCAAATAGAGATTCGCATTATAATTTATTTTTGTATTCTATATAAACATATTTAATTTTTACTAAAAATGGCTGACTACGATGAAGAATTAATGGTATAGTTTTTTTTTTTTTATACATCTACTGGTTAAGTAAAACTAAGATGTATTTCTATTATTATTTGTTATAGAAAAGAGAAAAGTTGTTTGGTTCAAGTGAAGAAGAAGAAATGTCTGATCTTGATGGAGACCAAGGTAATAAGGTGTTCGATATACTGTATTGTTTTATTTCCTTATACTAAATAGTATATATTAGCTTCTGACACCGAAGAGGTATATAAATCTGAACAAGCAGAAGAAGCAGATTACAATGAACAAAGAAAGACTTCTGCAGAAGAAGAAAATCAGCTAGAACAAGCCAATACCTATGATGAAGTTAGCAACGATAAAGAAACGGAGAAAGAAGAAATATCCAGACCTATAAAACTTCCATCTTTCAAAAAAAAACAAAAAGATTTTGATGAAGAGGAAAATGCTCGCTTAGAGGAGGCACGTCGTGAAATTCGCGAGTTAAAAAATAATTCAACTAGAACAAATGAAGAAGATGAAGAAGATGAAGGGCCTATTGACCCTCAACAAGGTAATAATTATTAATAATTCTATCATTTTATTTAAATAATAATAATAATAAATACGTCTTATATTATAGCATTAAGAGATGAAATCGATAGACAATTTGAAATAGCTTTAAGAGGTGGTAAAAAGAAGAGAAAGAGACAGGATGGCGAAAGTCTTGAAAATAATATCGATGAAGAGCTTACAAACTTAAGAGAACATATGAGACAAGCTGCAGAAGAGGATGCCATTGCAAATGGAGAAAGACGACCTGCTATTTCTAAATTGAAGTTGTTAGGAGAAGTAATTACTATGTTAACAAAGTACGTATTAAGTTTTATATATAATATTCTATTAAGGGGAAGAATGAAAAGTTTATTTATACGATATTGTTTCTTTTTTTTTTCTTTTACTACAGCAAACATTTGCAGGATGCTGTTTTAGATAATGGATTATTAGAAACAATTCGTTTATGGCTTGAACCTTTGCCTGATCGATCATTGCCCAGTTTAGATATCCAAAATGGTATGATGGATATCTTGGACAAGTTACCAATTTCAGGAGACCATTTACGCGAAAGTGGAGTCGGGAAAATTGTTTATTTTTATACAAAATCTCCTAGAATTGAGCCCGCTATGAAGAGAAAGGCGGATCAACTTGTAGGTAAATGGAGTCGATTGGTTATTAAACGAAGTGAAAATTATAGAGAACGTCGTCCTATTATACAGGAATATAAACGAGATGAAACGTACGTTTTTATATATTTGTTCGGTTAATAGGCGATTAAGTTAACAACATTACTTTTTATAGATATTATCAAAGAAAAAAAGTTAGACGTAATTCTGAAGAATTAGAAGAAGGGTAAATACTATATGTAATACCACCACTACAATGAAATTTTAAGATTTTTTTTCTTTTTTTAGACATGAAAATAGACGTTTCGTACGTGTTCCTCAAGCCGTTGCAGCAAACTATGATATTGCGCCTCAAAGTACGGTTAGAATAGATAAGAGTAGAAGTAATAAAGTAAGTACAGGCCTACATAAGGTTGTATTGATTTCAATTATTAATAAAAAAAATATTATTAGCCGGATAATACATTCAGAAGATTGAATAATACAATGCGTTCTATTAAGACAGGTCCCAAAAGAACAACACCCAAGGTTTCTATTGAAGGAAAAGGAATGCAATTTTAAGATATCATGTAAATAATCTAAACATCATAAATAAATATTAAGTATAATTCCCTCATTTTCCCCTCTACTCCTTTTTTTTCTAAGAAGTATAATAAAATGTGTACTCTTTGGTAACTGTACTTCGGGATTTGAGCCGACAAAACTTTATATTAAGTAAGCACGTTCATCTGTATTACATATATAAAATAGTATTACATGCTATAAATTTCTATATAAAAATGACTTTTATTTCAACTTTTCTTTTTTACTTTTCTTTCATATTTTCAAATATATACTAATATAATAAAAAGAATGACTGGTAAGTTTAGCACGTAATACTATAATGATACAAAATTGAACATATTTTAATTCTATTATAATAAAGGACCTATTCAATTTGGGTATGTAAACAACTGACGTATAAATAATAATAATAAAATGTACACAAGTAGTAACAGATTAACTTCTATTTATATTTAAATGTCAAGACACCATATTTCTTTGAAGCACAATATGACAGGTCGCTACCTGACTTCAGAAGCAGGTCGATTTTATGAGGAAGGCAGTGGTCAACAAGTTGTCTTTGCAGGTGGTTGGGAGCCTTCTTCAGAAACAACCTTTATTGTCATGCCTCGTCTTGGTGAAGATGAGATTGAGGAAGGTGTAGATGTTAATTTTGGTGATGTGATTCGCCTCAAACACGCTGCTACACGTGCTAACTTGCATTCGCATCCTGATATTCCTAGTCCTATTACAGGTCAACAGGAGGTTACTTGCTTTGGTGACGACGAAACAAGTGATGAAAACGACGAATGGATTGTTGAACAGTGGTCCTTTGATGAAAATGAAAATGAAGAGTTTGATGTTGAAGACCCTGTAATATTTAAATACATATACATATATATATAGTTTGATATATGTAGCTAATAGTTCTATATACTTATATGTTTATGTATTATTAGACTTGGTATGCTGATCGTTCCTTCTTTCTTCGACACGTTACTACTGGATTAACTTTGTAAGTTTAAATACTAAATAATGATATATGATTTATTTATTTGTTGTATATATAGGCATAGCCACGAAGAGCCTCTTCATGAGGATCAAAATGAAGTCTCTGCTTTCGGTGACGGCCCTGATGAAAATGATAGATGGCGCGCATCTTTTGATTAAAATAATCTATATCTAAGCTATATACTTTCACAAATTTTTTTGTTAAACTAAACTAATAAAATATGTATATCTACACACAAATTATATATTAAAGAATGAATAAAGGCATGAAATATTTTTAGAATTTGCTCACAATATTAGTGAGTCGTACAAATATTTAGCAACATACAACAAACTTATTTCTCATGGAAATAGATTTTCTGCTAAAAGTATTTTAAAGACCGTTTTGGTTTCATGTTACAGCTGTTAATTATTCAGTAAAGAGAATATACAGACCCATTTCTCTGATTTTACTCGTTATTTCTTTGTGAAAATAGATGCTCTAGGGGGGTCACGGTCATTTTTATATATACAGTACCCTCTGTATTGCAGAATGTGTAGAGGGAGTAGTAATAATTGTAACGTATGTAATATGATATGACTATAGCTTGATAACTCCCAAGTTATACACAATGAAAATATATTTATAAAAGTCTCACATTATATGTGCATAAAAACAAGTAAAGTTTTCTAAAATACTCAATATATCAGTTTTGGATGTTTTAATTTTTATAAGAAAAACTCCTTTATTTATTATATCTTATTTAACTATAAGAGAACAAATATTACATATACTTTTTGAACGTTTGCGTACTTCAATCAGAACATCCACCTCGAGTTTTATATTTGCTATTTTAAGACTAAGACTAGAGTATGTATGCACAACAGTAAGTGGCACTATTATGACACATTTACCTGATAAACTACAAGTACAATATAAAACAACAGAGGGAATAATTATGTCTTCAGATGAGCGATTTAAGGATAGTTGTACAAAAATGTGAATTGAGTCAATCAACATCAATCTCGTCTAACATTCCAGCCGGAAAATGACGTGTTAAAAACATTAAACAAATAATATGAATTCCAGTAAATCGAATATTTCGAACCGATTTGTTCTAACCTTAGTGTTTCATCACTCGACTTTTATGATTGATCATGTATACTCAGTAACAAAAATCACCCTTATTTGATTATGTGATAGGGATTATGTAAACAAGCTTCATTAAGATAGATCATCTAATGAATCAGACAAAGTAAAAGTAGTTTTTTTTAAATAGATCCTTTATGTACTTTATCTGCAGATATCAAAGACCTTTTCAAGTAAAGAAAAAAAAAACTACATTCATTTCAATAATGATTAATTAAGGATAAGATAGCTAGATCATGCTTATTCTCGAGTATACTTTTGATTTTTCTTCATCATTCAGTCAAAATCGCTAATTTCAAACTATTTTAGAAGCATTTTGATCATGCCGCCACATTATTTTACAAGGTCCTTTTTTTTTCTTTTGGCTTTTGATATTGTTGAATTTTAGTTACATTTAGTATTAACTGTATACAGATATAAGAGTACAGAACAAAATAGTATATATATTATCTTCATTTTTACTAGAATTAGACTTTTTTTTTTTAGGAATAATATTTATGATGCCTTTTGGTGACTTATTTAGAAACTCTACAATCCCTTGTGTCAGCATTAACTTTTTTTTTTGCTTTTGTTTATCAATTATGAATACTTGAAAGAAATATGCATATCTTAGATAGATCCCACTCTTCTCATAGTTAATTCTAACAATATTGAATCCTCGTGCATTTAAAGTAATAAATACTTAATAACTAATAACAGTTTTTTTTTTTTTTTTTTTTTTTTTTTTTTTTTTTTTTTTTATATACGTATTTAATGTTTGTTTAAAAATGAATTTCGTTATTTAGCAGAAATATTAAGCTTTTGACTAATGAATGCATTTATATAGCTAATAATAGAACATAATTGTGACTGATATAGAGAATAGATTATCATGGTAGATCATATTTCAATAAGAATAAGCTACTTGTATTTTACAGGAAGAGCAGTACAGATATCCTAGGCCTCCAGTTATCACGATAAAAATATCGTTAAAAAAAATACTAAAAATAGATAAAAGAAGTTGATATGTTTTCATTATATTAAATTGCTGGTGTTAAATACGATTATAGCTCTTTTTAGAAGAATACACAAATCACAGGTTTCCTTCTTTTCATGTGTGTCGGACTTTTGGATTTTACAAAATCTCAGGGGCAACTTTTTTTTTTTTTTTTCCTTTCTCTCCTTTATTTTTTTTTTATCTTTTATTTTTATAGGATGTCTGATACTGACATTGATTCACAAGCAGCATCTTCGGCTCTTGTAAAAAGTTTGTAATTTCGAAAATAAAGTGTACTTTAGATATACATGATTAATCTATTTATTTATTTATTTATTTATTTTCCTTTTCAAAGGTATTATTGAGGATTTATTTTCTTATAATGCAATAAAAAGAAAGAGGATATTGGATTATTACTTTTTCCAAAATGCAACTTTATCATCACCAATTATGAGTACAGAAGGTGTTTTAAATATTCAATAGTAAAGATATTTAAAATAAACCAAAAAAAAAAAAAAAAAAAAAAAAAGCACGCATCTAATAAATCAATGTTATTTCTATATAGTGTTTATACGGTTTGGCAGACAATGAATAGGGTTGAACCAAAAATAAATAACATAGTCTTTGATGGGTAAATAGCTATTATTTTTGTATTAGAAGTTATGTATTTATAATGTACATAACTAGTCAAATAGCAGTAGTTCAGTTAACGCAAACAATATCACCCTGTGTATTTCCATCATTTATTCAGTTTCAAATACCTGCAATTACTACGCTTTATTTTAAAGAAACAGATCAAGAGAGTGGTCTTTTAAAAATTTATAAACAAGAAGATAGTTGGACATTAGAAGGTATTTTTACATTTACATTTACATGTTATGATCTCGTAGTCATCTCTCTTCATCACCATCATTTTCCTTTATATAGGTTTGCTTCAGTCTGTACCACTTGTATCATTTTGGTATAATCATGTTGTTCGTTTAATGGTAGGCAAGATCGTTACAGCTACAGGCGACATATTGGATGCAGCAATAGATCAAGCACAGAAAATAATATTACAAGCACAAGAAATTCAACGTATAGGGCGTGATATGGCTATTGATAGTATGGAAAAATTAGATGAATATAAAGCAGAAATGCATGCTAATTATTTACAAGGTGTTCAAAATTGGAGAGAATCATATATTATGACGTCAAGTCATCATGATGATACATCAGTTATAACAGAAAAAGAGAACCCACTTCATCATCATTCAGCATCACCTACACCACTTATAACTAAAAAAGAATATGAAAAGGCAGTTTTTCATTAACAACATATATAAATTTATGTATATTTTATTTTATTTTTATTTTTTTATTTTTTTACGGTAAATAAATATTAAGTTATAATACATGTATTTAGAAATTGTAATTATCCGCTACTACAGCAGCAGCAGAATTCATGTCTACAGGCACTCTTAAAAAAGAATCGAAATACATATTGAGTTGTTCAAAAGCATTATTTTCTGGAGTTAATATGAGTCGTGTGCCAACATAACCATCAGGTCGAATTACGACTATTTCTGGCTGCTTCACATTATAAATTCTATAGCACTGTTGATCATGATCCAAAAAGACTTTAGCCAACCCACAAGGAAAGGTAGAGTGAACCATGGCAGGTGGTGTATCATTAAGATATTTGATGACTTCATTTTTTGTTGAACTTGTGATAAACAGAATAGAAAATAGTGAAGATGACTGACTTTGCTGTTGGATATGTAATGAAGATATAGATGACGTTGAACATCTATGTTCATAGTAATGACTTGTTGTTGTTCTAGTTGAATCTATTGAGCTTCGTGGAGTTGTTGAATTGTCTGCTACCAAAGATGATTTATGCGTACGTTGATTTTTATCCAACATATTTATAGAAGATATACTATTACGTCCCTGTCTATTGCTATTTGATCTTGATAGTGAGTGTATTGAATTAGGACTGAAACTTCTATTATTAGAACAACCATCATATCTATCTTCTTCTGATAATAAACTATCATCATATCGATAAAGAAAAGAATTAGATGATCCTACAAGTTGTCTAACAAATTGATATATTTTGTTTTGATGTGTATTTCCGATAGGCCCGCAAAATATGAATAAAGTAAAAGCTGGCAGACAATGCTTATTCCGAATGAGTTCATGAAGTTGTAGGTGATTTGTTCTAATGCTTTTCCATCTCTCTGTGGAAATCAATACAGATGCAGGTGTTGTGGTAGTGATGGAAGACATTTTGTTTGAATTGAGGATTTTATTATCCTGTTGTTGGTGATGTGATCGCTTCTTTAGATTTTTTTGTAACAGAGACCAAATACTAAAAATGCTTCCATTATTACTTGAAGTGACGGAGCTAGATCTTTTTCTTCCTGATTTAATTCCCTTTTGTAATATGGTCTTTACTGTGTTCACATTATTACTAATCTCTTCTTGAGGCTGTAAAGGAGGAGAAGGAGATACTAGAGGTGGCTCAAGTAAATGAGATGGTGTCATTGAAACTAATTGAGTAGTGGTAACTGTTGTCTTTGTGGAAGGTTGACCTGATGACAATAACAGCAACTGAAATAAAGTATATGGCTTTAACCTGGCATTAGGAGCTAAACATCCAACAAGACCAGCCTGAGAATTTTAATACATTTTATTTTAAAATAGTAATATTGAATTGAAAAAAAAAAAAAAAGAAAGACTTTTGAGCTCCCAATGAATGAAAAAAAAAGGGGGTGCCTTACTTATTTTATTTTTACTTACTTTTGAACTATGACTGATATTTTCGTCGTTTTCATTTTGTTGATCATTGGAATAGTTAAGTATAGTACTTGTTGTGAATGGTGTATCACCTACAAAGCAATGTTTGAAATGTTTTTGAAGTTGATAAAGAAGATCACGATTATGAAAAGACATATTCAAACTAGTTTCTTCCTCTTCTTCTTCTTCTTTAATTTTATAATAGTCACCGATAAAATTTGTAAAGAGATGTGCTGTATTAATAGCTTCCTCTGCTATTACCTTGGCTTCATAATCATAGGTCTCCAATAATCTAGATAAAGCACAACGTCGTATATTTAATGCCAACTTCCAACATAAATTCTGTATTTGCTCTAAATGAATATTGATATCAAATATCCCAGGCAGCCCAATCATTTGCGCTGAACTACCGATTAAAAAGTAACTAGAGTCGAAACTAAATTCTTCACACAAGTTTTGTTCACCTCCTTTTATTATTCTTATGATTTGAGTACATTCATAAAGTTATTAGTCTACAAAAATATTCATACCTTGCCATCTTGTATAACTCTTTATACTTCCGAATTCAATTTTATATGGCTGTAAAATAGAACGAATATGCTCTAAAGCCACTTGAGCAGGTATTTCATCATCAATTGATGTTTTACTCCAACTTGATTTATGTTCAAATATGACATAGATTTCACTTTCACGACCTAGTGAATTAAAAAATTTGCATCCGTACTGCATTATATAAATATATATACATGTATATACATATACATATTTACCTGTTACGTATATAATGTTTCTATCTTTACTGACAATGGATATCTGCTTTAAACCAGGGAAATTAGCAGAGATAATAGTGATTTGTAAGGTATAAAATATTCTTGTTATTATTGAATTCATGTTTTTATTATTATAAGACTTTTTTCTCCCAAGAGGTATTCCTATATGTACACACAGGTATTATGTATATAAGATAGCATTTTTATAGTAGTATTATGTACCTAATTTTTTTCTTATGAAACTTTGCTGACCTTCTGCCCCAATAATGATTTGTGATTTCCACACTTTAGTTTGATGCGTATCTGTATGCTTTAAATAAATAGATTTAAAAGCCCTTTCTATCGTTATATCATATTTATTGTTACGTGGTATACATGGTAAGGGTCTATACTGATAATATGAACTAATATCAGTAGTATTAAGTAATGGTAATTGATAATGATTATCACTTTGATCATTGATATCAATAATCTCTTGATTTTGATCAATTTGAATTATTTCTTGAAGTTGCTGTTTGAGAAGATTATATAAAACTGATTTCTTGCAAGTAACACTGTAATTGAACCCTGTTGTTTCATTATTCCATAAACGAATACTTTGTTGACTCACATTAGCAGACTGACTATTTTGATAAATTTCAAATTTCCAGTGACGCATACCTCCTTGTTTAAAAAGGGGCTCTAATAAATCAATTTGATTGAGTAATTGTAAGCTTCTTGGTGAAAGCAACAGTAATTCATTTGTATCATCCTTTCTGTTATTGTTATCTTTATATATATAACATGAAGGAAAATAGAGAAATAAAAATGAATATATTGTAAATTTGCTATTTGTTATTTAATAATACCTATCATGTAGACAGTTAATCCAATTTTAGATAAAACTATGGCTGCATATAAACTAGAAATTTCTTATTCTTATTGTTATTTAATCAGTTTGATAATTCTAATCAAATTACTACCAGAACCAGAAATGAATATGTCAGATTCGTTTTTATGCATTTTTTTTTCTTTTACTGAAGAAAGAAAAATAACAAAAAAAAAAAAGAAAAGAAAAGTTATCAACGAAATAAACTATTGTGACACTGGATAAATCAAGAAAATTCATAAATTATACTATATTCTGTAACAAATAACTATCGCCAAATGTTTTCTTCATGTAGAATAATGCATATTTAATAAGCTTAAATGAGTACAACAGTAGATATACATACTATGTCATTAAAGTATTTTATTAAATAAACACATTGCTTTTGTTTCTGAAATATGCTTGCTTATACCATAAATAGTGATACTACATGATCACATCTTATTGGTCCTAATCATTAGTTTGTCTTACTCTCCTCTTTTTTTTTTTTCCCATCCAAATGAGAATATCATATTATGATTTTTTCCTAATCATATATCTAATTTAGAAAAATAAATGTTACAATTAAATATTTTTTTTATTGAACAATAGTCTTTAAACCTTATTTGAGCACATAATGAAATAATATTATATTACCCGGGTCAAATAAGAAAAAGGGGGAAATAAAGAAATTAAAAAAAAAGGGGGGCATAAATTTGATCTAAAGGACGGCATGGAAATTTCGCTTGTAGAAGGATATGCTCGTTCTTTCATTGTAGGTTAGTGAACTAGATGAAGTATTAGCTCTGTGGAAGAGCGAGAGCCAGCACCAAAAATCTGTCAAAGACATTGGTTTTGACAAGCTTCAAGCTTTTTTCAAGAAAGCAGCAGAGAGAAAATTGATAGTCAGGTCATATTCAAGTTTCGAGTGAACAATTTGAGCATAAAAACGAACAGAAAGAAGACGACCAAATCCTTTAGAGTTAACACCAATGGATACCATTTGATTAAGGTTTTATTTGCTGCAAACTGATCATTATCATTTCCCACTCATCTATCTATCTCTTTCATTTCTTAATAGAACTGAAGCTTGTCAATATATTGATCATTTTAGCAATCAACTCTATGATACACTTAACTCAGTATGCGGTAGACGCTTCCCACTTGTAGATGATTACCTTAAGGGCTTTTGGACTATCGAAATGACTACTGCATTTTTTAACCGTAAGGAACCTTATTATAAGAAATGGCAAAGGAGAATTATATATTATTAAGTAATCAGTTCAATGTATACGATATATATAATAGTTGTAATGGATAAATACTTATTCCTATTACTTATTACAACTCATATAAATTTATTATATACGGTGATATATCATATAAATATGAATAACAATACCTTACTAGCTTCAGCTTAAAAATTGTTTATTACTACCAGCATTGGGTAAAAATATTTAGTTCAACTTTAACTTTTTAACTATATTTTTGTATATAACACTATTATGAGATTACTAGGATAGTTTTATCTGTTTTTTGATCACATATCCTCTTCCTCACTATAGTCCTTCCACTGTACCTTATATTCTGTGTGTGTGTGTGTTTTACCGATTCCTCTATGTTTTAGAATTTCTTCCATTTCGTAAACTTCTTTATCTGAGGTGTTATTTTTTGTTTACGACTCTAAATGCAGAGGGTGTATAATCTCTAGATACCAATTTCATCTTGCAGCACATACGAATTGCCTTCAGTTTTTTCGTACGACCTTATATGGTATGGTCCTGTAAATAAAGACATAAGCAATTCTTTAAGTGTAGGAACATGTACCATTACATAAGTACCTTTTTTTTTCTAATTCTTTTACAATATTCTTATAAGTTTATCAAATTTGTCTTTCACATTGCATTGATATCATTTATCCTGTCAATTAACTGTTCATAGCCCATGGCCTTAGTTTTCTTTCTATGCATTCATAGTTTTTTTTTTTTTTTTTTTTTTGAAGTAACTACTGAAATTCTATGCGTTCCCGCACCACACTAATTTTGTCCGTAATAATTTCTATAAAAATAATGCATGAGTTATAATGTTGTGCAAAGCAAACAATATATGTGTTCACAAGATACGTACGTATGATAATTTATTATGTTCAGTCAGGCTTATGGAAATTGGCGTTTACTCAAAAATAACTGGCCACAAGTCAAAAATAAATCTCTGCTTTTGAAAAAATTTTGGCACAACTTTCCAATTACAATTATCAAAACTTCCCAATTAAAATTAGCTGGAACATCACTGATGGTTAATGTGGTGTTTTAGGTTTGTTTGATTTAGAGAGAAAGAGAGAGATAGACTGTCAAGTACGTCGAGACTGTTTTAGTAGTTTATTAGACTTTTTGTAGATTTAAAAGGTCAAGAGGGATCCTATCTATATTACGTATTGGATTCATACTAATATTATGTCTGAGGTTAAATGGTAAATTAATTCTGATAAAGTAGTGTAATAGCTCTAAAAGACAAGTATATAATGTAATGATTTCCTTTTGTAGAATTCTTTGTTCTATTAAAGTATTTATCTTTCATTTGCGATGTCAGGCATAGACTATTAGTGCTCAGATCATCACAGTTGATCCTAAAACAAACCCGTGCTCACGTATCATGAGCCTCGTTTGTTTTCAGTAGTCTCTTCAAAATTATCCAAAACAAAGTTAAGAGAAATAAATTTTTGGAAAAAGAATCGTTAATGACTAGGATTAGTGAAGCATGTGATAGTTTGTATTCGAGTGATTCAAAAGGCTTTGTTTCTCATTCTGTCAAAGGCTTTGATAAATGTTTAAATAAGGAGATGTTGTGCCGTCAGTTCTTATTTTGTGCAGTCTGTTTGTGCAGTCTGTAATTTTTTTGTGCAGTCTGCAATTTTTTGTGCAGTCTGCAATTTTTTGTGTAACCTGTTTGTGCAGTCTGTTTATACAGTCTAATGTTTTGTGCATTCTGTAATTTTTATAGTGTTTTTTTTGTTGTTGTCGTATTTTTCTGTAACTTTTTTTTCCTACCATGATTACTATTAGTAGAGAACAAGCAATCTGTATGTTTTACTGTCAGCCGTATAATGAATCAAACGTTTCTAAACTATCCAAGTTAATTGACAACATGGACAATATTGAAATATGTTTTGCAGATGACCCCACCGAGCCAATGCTCCTTCGCCAATTAAGAATAAACCAAAATCCACTCAAATTTAAAACATATGTGAGCGAAGATGTGATTTCGTCTCAGGCTGAATCTGAAGAAATACTTGATAATAAAATCTTCCTCAGTAAATCTCGTAAAAAAAAACATCAAGTATATAAATATATATGTTAATATTTATAATCTTCTTTGCTTTACACAGCCACTGAGCAGCATGTCATACAGTTTTTGAATACTTGTTTCCTTCCTTACGACCCGAATAACGATGAAGTTTATGAACAACGAAGTCTTTCAAACGGCGATATATTATCAGTTTTATGGCAATATACTGAAGTACTCAATGATAAGAGTGTCACATCATTTGGAAACTGGTGTTCATCCAAAAAAGTTGATTTTTTATGTTGCAAACCTAAAAGAAGACACATTGCTAATAACTCCATGATCTCTGTCAGGTCATTATATGTGTTAAAAAAAAAACTACTTTGGTAAGATAAGACAAATTTTTGATAAGAGAATCCAAGGGATTAATTTTCGAAAATGAAAACTATATAGCCAAAACCATTGAAAGGATAGTATTATATCTGCACAATTACCAAACAGAGATTCAAACCTTGAAGCAGCAAGGATTTACCGTAATAGGATATGCTAGAAAGTCGAAGAGTGGTGAAGATATTGAAACCAGAACCAGGTTGCTGAATCTCATGTGTAAGCGGCTAAAGGAGAAATCATTAGTTGATCATGTTTTCGTATCATATATCTCTCAAGCTAACGACCAGTTGGCAACAAGAGATTTACAACAAATGAGCGAAATATATAAAGGTTTACATGCTGAAGAAAGCACTCAGGGTAAGCAAGTCAGTGACACATTATATATCTAAATTAATAGATTATTTATTTCGACTATATAGACATGATGAGATTTATCACAAACACTGCGAAAGTATGTTTAGTCGTATTGGATTACGCTGGTTTGACAACAAACAGCAATGATTTGTATGACTTTCTGAAGTAAGCGAATAGTTACAAAACTATATGAAAGCAGAATAACTCATTAATTATTTATTTTTGCTACAGACAGTATCCAAACCTGGATGTGATGGAACGTAAATAAAAAATGAAAGAGAAAATAGAAGAGAGAGAAAGGGAACAAAAGGAAGTATAGTTTGAGACTGTTTTTTATTCAATTAAAAATAAAGAAGGTTAAAAGAAAGTTAAAGAAAGAAATTGGTTCCTTGAAACAAGATCGTTATGAAACCAATAGGGAATACGCAAGCAGATATCAGAAACTTCGTCGTGAAGCAGGAATAGAAGATGGAACTCAGTTGGCTGTCTCATTTTTTGTCTCACTTCAAGAATCTGTTCGTGCCCGTTCACAAGTTGCTATAGCCTCTCACTTTGGCACTAACTTACCTACTTCTATAAATCAAATTATTGATCTTGTTGTTGCTTCCGGTGAAGATAGTTCCTTTGCTGATCCTCCTATCAAACGTCCACGTCATGAAGGTCCTCAAGAGTCTCACGCTCTACCGATTGAGCTAGCTAGGCTTGTTCTATAACACTGGAAACAATAATAATCGATAACATAGCAGCTAAAAACGAAGTATGAACATACAAAAGAATGCAATTGTTAAATGAACCGGGCACTTTAAAGAAGTTTGAATGTAGGAGCAAGCCGGTTCAACGATCAAAATAAAAAGTTTATTATTTCCAAAATTTATATATTGTAATAAAAAGTGTTTATATACAGAGACTGTTTTTTATCTCTTAGCATGATTGCTACTCTTATTCCTTTTACAATCGTCCAAAAAAGTAGGATATTGATGGTATTTGAAGGGATTAACATGGAGGGATTGGAGCGGAAATATTAGCCACTATTCGCTGACGATGTTGTATTGATTGCTGACCAGCCCCAGATGGTTAATCTTTTACAAATTTGTGAACAACATAGCTATGACCTTGGTTACCGATAGAATCCGAGTAAATGTATCATATTGGATTCTAACGAGCATACCACCTTTCAATATCAATTATACGGTGATCCTATCCAGGTTAATTCTTCCTTTTCATACCTCGGTATACCGTTTCGCCCTGGTGGCTACCTCCATCCAAGCGAATTGATTTCTGTCAACACAACCAAAGCGATAGCTACTATGAATCAACTAGCAGTAATAGGTGTTAATCACATGGGCTTTACCAAACTTCTTTCCCCTCACTTCTATGTCCAAATGGTCCGCTCCCAACTTGAATACGGTCTAGCCATCAACAAGTTCACCGCATTCTTATACAACAAACTTGAAGATGCCCAAAAACAATGCATTCGAAGATTCTTCAGTGGCTCCACTCTCTCCTCTGTTCAAGTTATGCTTCATTTAACTCGTCTCCCTACGATGAAAGAAAGGTCTCATATATTAATAGCTAAATTCCTACTACGCTCCTTCTCCTTACCTGACGATGCTCTTCTTACGAAACTTTTACCTCACATCCGAATCTCGTCAAGCAGATCACAATGGTATACGCTATCTAAAACTCCACTGTGGAAGGTCTGTCACCCCACCCCGAACTACACTCCTTAGATCACAAACGATTTAGAAAGTTACAACAACAATTTTTACAAGATAACTTAAATGCACGCCGTAGTGCTCCAAATAATTCTACACCCCTCTCTCTTTGCAGGCCTACTATGTCTATAAATCCTATCCTTTGGTTACCAATGTCCTTTGTTGAACGCAGTCGATGCATACGTTGGCGGCTTGGATGGCTCCCAAACGGTTACTCCACATACTGCCCCACTCACCCATCTCAACGCCTCACTCGACGACATGCAATTATATGTCTCTAAATGCACCGTCGGTTACAGATGCCTGAAACTATAGAAGATCCCTTGTCCTTCCTTTTAAACCAACTTCCTGCCAAGAAACCTGCCTCATCTCATTCCGTCACCCCTTGGCACATTAGATGGCCCTCCATCTGCCTTATCTTTCATGAACTTGACCAGTTACAACATAATAAGCTGATTCTTCCTACCCCACCCAATACTGGTCAACGTTTCTTAGATTGGCTTCCTCCTTCTCCTACACTACCTGTCTAATTTTTACATTACACCTATCACACCCTTCCTTTCCTTTACGTTTTTCCTCTTGCTCCTAAAGAGGTTTTTTCGTTCCTTATCCCTTTAAACTGATCCGGCCTGGGCAAATTTGATGTATTTAATAACATCTCGTGCTCAAATGGGGTCATGTATTTTTAAATAAAAATTATTGTTTAATCGTATAAGAAGATAGAAGATAGAAAAAATAAAACAAAAAAAAATAAAATAAAAATAAGACATATATTATTTAGCAGCAACCGCCAGATTGTTGAGGTTGAACAGCAGCTCCTTGACTAACTTTGACGGTAGATTTAGCTTGTTGTTCTTGTAGAGTGGATCCCATTCTATCTTTAATTTGCTTTGCCATTATTAAGAAAGCTTGTTCAACGTTAGTAGCATCTTTAGCAGATGTCTCCAAAAGAGGAATATGAAGACTGTCAGCAAATTCCTATTATTTCAACTAAATTAGTTTCATTTTTTTTAAAAAAAAAAAAAAAAAAAAAAAAAAAAAAAAAAAAAAAAAAAGTTATAAGGGAAAAGTTACCTTTGCTTGGTCAGTTTCGACAACTTTCTTATCGACCAAATCACTTTTATTACCAACTAATAGCTTATTAACTCCTTCTGCAGCATAACGATCAATTTCTTGTAACCATTGCTTAACATTATTGAAACTATCTTGGTCTGTAACATCATAAACAACAATAATACCATGTGCACCTCTATAATAAGATGAAGTAATTGTACGGAAACGTTCTTGTCCAGCTGTATCCCACTACAAAAAATAAAATAAAGAAAAAGGGAATTAAACTTCTTTTTCTCCTTTTCCTTCTCTTTTTAGAGAGGTTTGCTTTTTATATTTACAATTTGCAATTTTACTGTCTTTCCTTCAAGTTCAATGGTTCTAATTTTCTAAATAATAATAATAGTAATAAAAAAAAAATGATGAGAGGAAGGCTTTTGATTAATATTTATTAAAGTTATTGTTTACGAAATCAACGCCGATAGTGGAGATATAACTTTCAGTATAGGTATCATCTGCAAAACGTAATAAAAGACATGACTTTCCAACACCTGAATCACCAATAAGCAAAAGCTTAAATAAATAATCGCTAAAATTTATATAAATTAATAAAAATTAGACATCATACAAGTAACCAATAAGTCAATAAGCAGTAAACATGTTTAAACATGTTTATACGTATATTGTGTTGTATAGTTGTCATATCTGGTGTTAAACAAATACTTACTATTCAGGATTCATTTTTATTATTATTTTATTTTATTTTATTCTATTTCTGTGTTTAGCTGAAAAGAGAGTACCTGTTTTTTATCACTGAAATGGGAAAAATAATAATAATAAAAAAAAAAAAAAAAAAAAAATGATAAAAAAAAATAGACTTTGAAGTGCGTGTAGTTATTAAATAAACGTCATCAGTAATTTATTACAGCAATTATTATTATAGATATAGTAATGCGCCTAAAAATAAATCTAATTAAATTTAATTTAATAATTAAGCAGGTAAATTTATTGCTTCTTTCTAGCTACAATACTTGCTGTACCATGATTAAGGATAACAAAAACTCAAACTAGAAAAGGAGTTCAAGTGCTACATAATTTATTAATTTTACTACATTATGACAGCAGGAGGACTTCCTGTTCAGCTTTGAATTCTACCTATATTTTCTGTAAATTTATTTTAATAAAAAGGGAAGAAATCATGGAAAAGCGCAAATATTAGGATGGAAAATTAAGAAAAGACTCACATAATTTACTTTGACTTTCTGTTGTCCTACAATGTACTTATTTATAAAAGAACCCGTTATTGAATCTTGATCTTTGTTTATTTATTTATTTATATTATAAAGAAAGAAAGTTGACTCTCATCTTTTATTTCTTCTTTATCATCCTACTCTTTCCTTTCCTTTCCTTTTTGCTATTACAATGCAGCTTCTTAAATCTATTTTCTCCATGTCAATCATTATATCAAGAGTAGTTGCATTTGATTTTTATCGCTTGAAAAATAATTTTGCAGCTACTCCTGACAACCTTTCAACAATTGATGATAATACTCGATACGCTGCTAGTTATCTTGCTCCTTTTGCATCTGAAGATGCTGTAGATCATCCTTTTGAATTAATCAATAGTCATGAAGATCTTACTACTAATCTTTATGGCTCCATTATTTCTTTAAACAAGCGTACTGATGATTGTCAAAAATATCACAAAGGTACAAGAATATACGCATATAAATACATATATGTCTGTCACTATTGATACTTATGTGCATGTAATATATATATATATATATATATATAGTGGCTATTAATGATAATTGTTACACTTTAAGTTTAAAGTATCAAGTCGATATGAATGATATTCTTGAATGGAATAGTCAAATTAATAGTAAATGTACTAATCTTTATCCTGGAAAATCGTACTGTGTTCAAAAGAAAGAAAATACCATATTAAATACCACGTGTAAAAAAACATATATTGGTAAATATTCTTTTTTCCTTTTTTTTTCTTTTTTTTTCTTTTTATTGACATGTCGTTTAGTGAAAAATGCAGATAATTGTAACTCAATTACTAAAAAGTATGGCATTACCCTTGATGAATTTTACAATATGAATCCTTCTATAAATAGAGGTTCTTGTAATAATTTAAGAACGGGTAAGGCCTACTGTATTAAGCAAGAAGCCAGAGTAAAGTCCATTGCTAAAAAACGTACTACTACTACTTTACGCCGTACAAGAAGATCTACTAAAACTAAAAAATCACAATTGAAGGCATCTTCCACTAATAAACGAAAGACAACTAGGACTAAAACGACTCTAGTTACTAGAAGAAAGAAAACCAAGACTACTACTCTCTCTACTGATAAGCGTAAATTGCTCCAGAAACGATCTGAGTTTACCTACTACTGGATTGCGCATCCTGATGATTACAGCCATAGTGGTAAACAGGTTACCATCAAGACCTGTCAGGGGAAAAGTTTAGGTACCGTCTCTGAAGAATATGCTGATGCTCTAGTTATGGAAGGTACTGGTATCGTGAATGGTAAGATCATTAACCTTGGGGGTTGCTCCTGTAGTAATTATAAATGCTTTATGGAAGTGGATAAGAAAGAGGATCCATTTGGTTTAACAGGTAAAGTAATAATAATAATAAAAGTATAGTATAGTATAGTCTAATCATATTACATAAATAGCATTTGGAAGCCCTCTTCGTCCATTTATTACTATTGCTGCTAATGATATTAAGCGAAATACAAAGATCTTTATTCCTCAAATAGTGGGTTGGGAAGTTCCTGGTTCTTCAAAGAAACATAATGGCTGTTTACTTGCTGATGGTAAGTTGCATGATACTACAGTCACATATTATGCTTAAAATTTTAATATGATAATCATTAGATCGTAGCTGGAGCTTTGATAATAATCATATTGATTTTTATGTTTATCGTGAAAAGAATTATCGTGACTTGAACAAAAAGTATAAAATCAGTGAAGTCGATGTTTATGAAGGTGGCAATTGTAACCTTCTTAATTATTTATAATCTGTATTCCATAATTTTATTTCTTTTTTACATTAACAAATAAATAAATAAATAAAGCTGCAGACATTGTAAATTATCACAGCCATTTAGTTTCTCCAAATGCTGTCGTTATAAACTGACTTTCTTCTCGATCATTTCCTAATGTCTCCTTGTTATATAGTTTAGCTAATTGCTGTATTGGTGATAAATAAGGCTCATTTGATGTCATGAACGTACCCCAATGAATACCAATCGATATTCTGGGGAAGTCTAAATCACTATGAGCTTTAATTGCTTCTTTAGGACTCATATGGAGTGACTGATACATACTTTGAGGTTCAAATGTGCCAATCGGTAATACTGCCAAAGTAAAAGGAGAATAAAGGTCTCTAATAGATTGGAATAACTCGGGTACATAACCTGTGTCCCCACTATGAATATATCCTTTTTCAATATACAATGCAACAAGTTTTTTTTTTTTCTATTTACCAAAAAAATATTTTATTTGATCTTGATTTAATCACAAAACTACACCATAAAGATTGATTTTTTTCAAATAGAGAAGATTTACTTTCATGCTATGTATTTATAATACATTAATGTATGCATTCAGTTTAATATTATTTGCATTCATTACCATAGCTGGTACACAAGCAATCAATATATCAGATCTATCTTTATACTGTATTTCTTGCCACCAATCTAATTCGATTACATTTTCAATACCTCTATTAACAAACCACTTTCTTAGTCCTAATGGAACGTACCATGTTACATCATTTCCAAGTTTGAGGACGACATTTTCATCTACCAAATAGAAGTTAATATGAATGTGTCTGTACTACCCTCCTCCTTTTTATTTATATAATATTTATACAAATATACCTAAATGATCAAAATGATGATGAGATACTAAAACAATGTCTATCAGATCTTTAATTTCTTCGATTTGACATGGAGGAGGTCTTAATCTTTTTTTATGATTAAAAATAGGATCTGTTAATATATTTAGACCTTCTAAGCTAAAAAGACAAGTAGACTGACCAAACCAAGTAAAACTCATTCTATTATTTGAATTCTTAATTTGGTCTAGAGAAGGTTTTACTATAGGTAAAGAATCACATAATTCCTATTGATTTGGTATTCTTTAGCTTACGTTCAATGTCTATGTTAGATAAAAAAAAATACCTGCTCTATTTTGGGTAGTTGATTATTATTATTAATACCAAGATAATAAATAATATAATCAAACCAAGAAATGCAAGGTTCTTTCCATTCTTTAAAAGGATTAATAAATTGCTTTTCAAATTTTAGACTTGCAAATTTATCTTCTTTTCGTACAAGATGCTTTCTCTTATGGATAACCTGTTGTCGGATGGCTTCTTTCAAGTCGTAATTATGAGATGCTTGTAAAGAATAATATAATAAAGCTGAAGCACCCACTGTAGCTACTAAGGTTGGAATGATATATGGATGGTCAAATGGTATAGGGAAGTTAACAAAGGAAAGTCTTTTATTCATTAACAGAATAAGTATAATAGTAAGAAAAAAAAAAGCATAATAGGAGACGCTATTCGCTTGAATGATAAATACATACAATCAAGTCACACAACACACATGAATATTGCATTATAGATGTATACATTTATTTATTTTTTTTTTAAATAGTATCAAAGTCATCATCAATGCCAAAACTTTGTTCAAATACTTTACGGTCCATACCAAACTTATTTATACAATAAGATTCAATTTCCCAAATATTTTCTGTCCATCGATTTACTGCCTCTTTAGCCATTTTAGCAGCATTTTCTATGTCATTTTTTAATACCTATTTTTTTTTTTTTTTTTTTTTTTTTTGCATGTATCTATATATGCTACCTTTTGCTTTATACAGAGCAGGATCATTATCTTTGTATTTCTGTAACTCTGCGTTTAGTTCTTTTGATATTCTCTGCTGTTCTTTTAATTGACGTAATAATTCTTCACGTTCTTCTGATTGCTCTCTATCCTCTTTAGCTTCTTCTATTAATTCTTCTAGCTTAGCTTTCCTTTCCACCTCTTTATCTACCTTTTGCGATATATCTGATAACTTGTTTCTTTTCTGTAGTAATAATAATGATAATAATAACGTAAGTGATTCAATTAGAATAGTGTCATTGTTTATACCGTTTCAATGGCTGCAGAAGGATATGACCAAAAGTAGTTTGATGTGCCAATTTTATCCGTCATAACTAAACCATCATCCACTAAGCTCATTAAGACGTCTTTTACAGATTGTAATACTAAATAAATAGTATCAATATAGAAACATATTTATACAAGATCTGTATCATTTATATGTACCAACTCCCTTTTTAGGGCCTATCTTCTCTATGTCTTTTAATTGATAAAATTCACCCTAATACAGAATGATGCATTAATAATAGACTCATTTATTTGTGCATAAAATATAAGCCTATTACTGTCTCGTGAAATATACGTTCAATCCTTTTTCTTTTTTCATCGAGTGTAAGACCTTTACGAGACTAGATAAAGAATTTAGTTTAATTAAATGTATACATGTATTACATTTATTTTTACAATGTCATTTCTGTCACATTGTCAATTCTATTACCATTTTAATTTTTAATATTTTTTTTTTCTTAAAAAGAAAAAGAAAAAGATAAAAAAAAATTATAATATTTTTTTTTTCTTTTATTATTATTATTTTTATTATTATTGCTATCGTTGTTAAATGTCGACGATTTATAGACCTACAAAAAGAATATATCTACCGAACGATCCTTTTTTTGAAGAAGGGAATATAGCCCTAAGAGCTATTTGGCTAAAAAAGGAAGCCCAGTCAGAATCTGAATTGAATATAATTGAACAAGAAGTAACTGAGCTAACAAGGTTAATAAGACATATATATGCATATACATATAGCATTTTTCTTTTTTATTGTTTTCTTTTTATTTTATTTTATTTTATTTTATTTTATTTTATTTTATTTTATTTTATTTTATTTTTTTGCTAATATCATAAATACAGTCAGTACTTTACTCAAATATATTGTAACGCATGTCGAATTGAGTTCCCAAGTATTACAGCATATGAATCACATTATGAGGCTATTCATCGTAATGTATGTTCAGTTTGTCATAAAATATTTCCAGGTTCAGAATGGTTACAACTTCATTTAGATGAATTACATGATGTTATTTTACAAATGAAAAAAGCGAAAGGTGAAAAAATTGTAATGTGATCAGTGTAGTCTTCTTACTATGTACCGTTCACTTGAAAAATTAATGTGTTTTTTTTTTTTTTTTGGGCAGCACAAGTGCTATGTAGAAACTTGTAAAAAAATGTTTTCAACACCACGTATGCGTCGATTACATTTAATAGATAAACATCGATATCCAAAATATTTCCCTTTCGATATTGTTTATACAGGCACATTATCGTTTGAGCAAAGAAGACAAAGAAATCAGAAAAATAAAGCACGTATGAGGAGGATTAAACAACAAGAAAATAACATTGAAAAGCAGCAGCAGCAACAGCAGCAACAACAACTACAACAACAAGTCAATGATGTAGACATGGATGAATTGACATCAAGCATGTCAAAACTAAAAATACCAAAAACAATTTCTTTTGGACACAACAAACATCCCTCATTACCTCGCCGTTATCAACGTCATGCTTCTTCTATAAAGCAGCGAGATCCGATAGATATAGAAATGAAAGACATTAGAATAGAAGAAAAGAGATAAAATGAATTTATAAATGAGAATCTTTTTTTTTTTTTGGTTATTTATTTTAATTAAATGGCTGCAATCTCAGCGATATGCACCATCAAATTTAATACTTGCAAATGTTCATCTGCTCCTTGAATTAAATCAATATCCACTGTTGCCATATATTGGGAGATCTTTGCCTTTTGAAGTGTGTTTAAGCTATCATTTTTAATGATGGCATCATGAATTTGATTCATAATATTTTCTCCGGAATAGCCTTCATTCATAATATTTTGTACTTTTCTCTGAATCTCTTTCACATCATCATGATTCATCCAAATGTTGATTAATTCATTCATCGATTCTTCAGGAATAATGCCAGCCATTTCATTAATCATACGAGGTGTGATTGGGTTTTTTCCTTGTAGATTATATCCACTTTGTAAAAATGTGATGGCTTTTCGAAGATCTCCACCTGAACATTCAATTAATGTTTTTAATGTATTGGCTGCTAAATTAACACCTTCTCTCTCACAAATCATTTGAAGACGTTCTTCTAAATCAGCTACTGGTAATGATTTAAATCTAAACTTTGCACATCGTGATGTAATAGGTTCGATAATACTGATAAGAGAAGAAAAGAAAAAAAAAGGATATGTATATACATGTGTTTTTTTTTTTTTTTTGTTTTAGTCTAGAATATAAATGCCTTGAATATATAACTTTACCGACTAACATAATTACAGATCAAACAAAAACGGGTTGTTTTAGAATAAGTTTCCATGATACGACGTAAAGCTGATTGAGCATCTCTTGTCATTGAATCTGCTTCATCCAAAATAACGATCTTATAAGCTGGACAAGGATAACCTCTAATTATAAAATAGGATAAGCATATACATATAGGATATCCATTGATAAATAAATAGACATTACTCGACTTTGTTTGTAACAGTTGTTCTGGAAAAGTTTTTGACTTTATCACGGATAATTTGAATACCTCTTTCATCAGAGGCATTTAATTCCAAAATACGTGATTTAATTAACTTGGGACCATAAAGTTCATTAGCTAAGGCTAAAATAGTAGATGTTTTACCAGTACCTGGTGGACCATAGAAAAGTAAATGAGGCAACTAATGATTAAAATATACATATAAAATTAATAATCCCTAACAAACGACGAATTAGATGGGTATTTACATTTTCAGACTGAAGTGCTTTCTTTAAAACAAGTACTGCCTGTTCTTGTGATGAAATATCATCCATAGTCTTTGGACGACTAATTAATAATAATAAAAAAAAAAAAAAAAAGAAAAAAGTGATAAGCTAAATAATAGAAGGAATCGTTGAAATCATGTTTACTATTTCTCAACCCAAGGTTGATTCTTTTTTAACAATTCTGCTTTATCATTTTTATCTGTTTTATTTAAAGTGGCTGTTCTTGGTGCAAAAAAGCTCATTTGTACGAGTAGACTAGGCTTAATACAATAAAATAAAGTAAAATAAAAAAAAAAAAAGATTTATTGTTAAACAAAGCGCGATTATAAAAATAAATAAATAAATAAATTTCGCGTCGTGACTTTGACAGTGGATATATTTTAAATAGGGAATACAATTATTTATGCTGATCAACTACACTAATAGTAGCAGCTTGTCTTTCATATGCAATTCTTTGGAACTTTGATAAATTTTGTATGAATTTGATACCCACTGGATTCCTTTCCAAGCGACGAAACAAGTCAACTGCTTGTCTTCGAATAAGAGGATTAGAATGAAATAAACCTATACCAAGTGGAGATAGTCCACCTTGATGTTGAGGTAAAAAAGACAAAAACTTTTGCATAGATAAGTATTCTTTTTTTTTTTACTATTAAATAATTCATATATTACTTCAATCATTTGTCGATGTGTAATAATATTATTCAAAAATGCTTCATAAATGGAAGCTATTTCTTGATCCGGTATCTGTTTCAACTTCTTTAGCTTATTAATTTGATTATAAACATCTAAATCCTTTATACATGAATGCTGTTTCCAATAATTAAAGTCCTAATATTTTGTTATATTTTACTATGATATTTGTATATGCTTTCATTATATTCTCTTACTCTTTGATAGTATTTATAGGATATCGTTTGTCTCCATCCTTCAATACGTTGAGCATTTGCGCATAATTCTCTTTGTTTTGAACTCTCATCTTGAAATACTGGACCATATCCTAAAATAGACATCTTTTTTGTTGACCATATAATATTCGTCTGTCCATATACTTGTTCTTCATAAAGGGCAGCTAATCGAACAAATCGATAAATATAATCCTGGAATTTTGCACGAATGGATGTTTCTCCATAATGGGCTTGAATCGAAGCTATGACATCATTCATGAATTCAACGTTACTATCCTCTACTACACCTCCTCCTCCTCCTCCTCTCTTCTCATCTATCCCAGCTCCACTACGATAATGCATGGACGTAGTAAGACTCGAGTTCCGATGATGAGTTAATATATCCTCCGTTAAAGCCATAGACTGTTTTCTTCCAGTTGTTTGAATATGTTCACTTACAGTGATTTTACCCGTACTAATATTACATAATACATCCCACCAACTTGTATGTTCTTCATAAGTTGGATTTGTAACACCTGCAATAAATCCCGGACTATAGACAAGTGAATATTTATAAATATGTATATATGTATATAAAACTCTCAGTCATGTTTATATCTCCTAATTACCATTTTAATAAATCGTCAACACTTGTTAAATTAGTATACGGGAATGCACGTTCAGTAAAGCCTTTCAAAACTGTTCCACAACCACTTCCCAAAGCACATGCAGCAAGTACATAATTGGCTACCTCTCCTGAGGGATGACCATATCCAAGAAAAATAATTCTCTTTTGTGTAAGTAATGCATTTAATAATAATATGATTGGATGCGTATATGGGCCTGAGCTATCTAGATGAGGATGATGTGGATTAGGTGATCCCTGACTATGATGAGGAGTAAAGGTATTAATTAATTTGATAACCGAAAACTAGACAAGGTGAAAAAAAAAAATAAGATGAAACCGACTCTATCAGACCAAGATATCTATCTGTCTATTGATACAACTTACATCTCCTACTTCCTCTGCATTTACTGTCAATGGGATTTTGATAGGCAGCTTGATACCATCATATTCAATCTTTGTTTCATAAAAATGTCTATCCTTACTTAGTGCTGATATCTTTTCACGAACATGACCTGAAGCCAAGTCAATATAAGTACCTCTTCTTAATCTATTATCCTCCATATCTTCTATCAACATCTTATTATTAGTAGTAGCAGCAGTGACATTGTCTTTATCCATAAACATCTCTTCAAACATAGTTCTATTATCTGAAGCACGTAAGATTTGTCTTTCATGCCAAGTAAATTTTGGCATATGTGAAAGATCCATTGAATTCACTGCCTTATAAAGTGACTCTAAAATTTCAAGACTTGGATTGTTAAAATATTTTTCCATGGCTAATAGCAATACAGGCTTAAATAAGAAAGGTATTATAGGTTTGTTAAATGCCTAAGGGTATCCTTTTTTTTTTTTTTTTTTTTACTTTGTAGATATGCAAGTATTGATGTCTTGTACAAATAGCCATTGCTTTTACTATTGCACCTCTTTATAAAAAGGTTATGTCAAGATTTATATCAAATTGACTCTTTCTCTTCCCTTTTTTTTGCCTTTTTTTTTTTTCTTTCTTTCTTTTTTTTTTTTTTTTTTTTACCTTCTAGCAGTTGCATCATGTTTAGTTCTGACCAAGTTGAGTACATAAAGTAATGGTTTTTCAGGATCTGAATTCATTTGTTCAATATCCTGATCAGCATTAGGAATTAATTGATTTAAACAAAAGATGGTCCAATCTTCTGATCTTAGATGAGCACCATCAGGTAACATGAGTTCAGATAATATACTGTTTAATAAGGAGTTATATTAGTTGTTTACAATGGATCAACTTTGTTCAGCTTTACTGTTCGTCTGTTCCTGTTTCAGTAGGGTATTGATGTTTCAAATTGGCCCCTTTATCAATATCAAATTCTGCTAACAAAATATATTGAACATGTTCATTTTTATGCATGATCATCTAGAAATGGAGATATATAAAATGAAAAAAAAAAAAGAAAAAGAAAGAAAGAAAAATAAACCAAAATAAGTAAATACTACTACTATGCTCTGTTCTGTTCTGTAGGGGGAGGGGGAGGGGTCAATTATCACACATAGGAAATTTTATTTTATTTTATTTTATTTTTTTTTTCAACAAGTACACCTTCTTCTCGTTTTATCATCATCATGATTTTATTTCATAATTATATACTCACTACAAATTACATCAGACCATGAATCATATGAGTTTTATATGTAGTATAACTCGTGAATCAACTACAAAAGTAGTTTAAGTGTATAATGCCATATATGGAAAATAGTTAACTTCCATATTTAGAAATTCTGCTTTTAAAGAAGTGGGGGGTGGAGGAAGGAAAAAGTAAAAGCAATTTATTATATTACAAAAAAGAAATAATAATAAGTGATAATAATAAGTATACAAATGTGTGAATATTTATAAATAATAATAATAATAATAATAATAATAATAATATAATAAAGAAATAATGATAATGATAATGATACTAATATAGTAATCTATCTTTTACGCTTTTTCATTGGTGAAAATGCATTTGGCTGTTGCTGCTGTTGTTGCTGTTGCTGTTGTTGTAATAGTAAAGGACCTTCATTATTTTGATATAATGGATGTTGACGATGATATTCTTCAGTTTGTATTAAAGATATTGGAGAAGGTAAATGATGTTTATTATTATTATTATTATTATTATTATTTCTATTACTATTACTATTACTACTATTATTATTACTACTACTATTATTATTACTATTATTATTACTACTACTACTACTATTATTATTGATAGTTACTGCTGGCACCGAAGTTGTATTATGAAAAGGTGCTGATGATGGTGGCAATGTAGCTGAAAGGTCATGTATAGAAGGTAATCTATTCATATGATGTGGTTCAGTGTTACTTTTATTTAAGAAATTATTAACAGCAACAGGGTCTAATAACTCATGAACAGGTAACTGAGACTGTAAGATAGTTCTAAGCATGTCCTCGATAGCTTTTAGTCTATCTTCTATAGCTTCTAAAGCTGCTTTTGAGGGTCCATGATTTCTTTTGTCATCTAATTGAGCAGCTGTAAGATAAATGCAAGTTGCATTTGATTTTTGGCAATTACGACAAGGTTGTTCTCCATTACATTTTGTCTTTTTACGTCGACATTCTCCACAAGCACTCATAATTTTGGCACGCTTTTTTCGTGGTGGTTCTGTTGTTGTTGCTGCTGTTGCTGCTGCTGCTGTTGTCGTTGTTATTGTTGTTGTTGGGGGTAGAGTCGTATTGTTTTCAGGCATATCTCTTATAAAAGAGGGATCAAATAATAACCAATTATATAAAAAAGGGAAAGGAGAAATATTCTTAATAATAAATCAAAAGAGGGGAAAAAAAGAAATGAAAATGAAAATAAAACGATAAGTAAAAGGAAATAAAAATAAAAAATAAAATAATAGCGCTTTTTTTTTTTTTTTTTGTATGTCAGAAAAGAGGGGGGATGAAAAGAGGGGTGGGGGGGGCGTTAATAAGTTACGGGTCATGATTATTGGCCAAATTTTCGGGAATAACGGCAAGGTATGTCAATATTTTTTTGATCAAAAATTATTATTTCAACTATCTTTATGTGAACATTATTTCGATATAATGTAAATTCCTTCTTTTATTTTATTTTTTTTTTTATTTTTATTTTTTATTTTTACTTGAAGAAATATGGGTTCAATAAATAATAGAGCCGATAATGGTGCAAGTAATAGCAGTAATAATAACCGACAAAATAATAGGAGAAGACGAGCCACTAATAATAGAAGATATTTATACGGTAATAATAATGCCGACATTCAAATGTCAAATAATAACAATGATAAAGGAGTAAATACAAGTCAACAACAGTGTCCATCTTATGATAGATCATTAAATCAATGCCAGTCTAATATGCATCATAATGAGCCTTTTCAAACAAACGATTCAAATATCAGAAGCTTCTTTAGAAGCAGATTGAATACTATCTTACATCCTGCATCTTCTTCTAATAGTAATATGGTTTCTATACAGCAACACAATAGGTTGTCTACTTCACAATTAGCGTCTACCGTCATACCAAATACCCCTCTGTCAATTATTATTGCTGAATCAAAGCAGATCAAATTGGCCTATATTATTCATGATTACTCTTCATATTCAGGTGTTTATTTTCCTTATAATATCCTTGATAATGAACCTACAGATCAAACGTCAAGATGGTCAAGTGCAGTACATAATTACGAACAGTATATTATAGTAAAATTTGAAGAACCAGTGATTGCAAGTAAATGCCTAATATTTGTTATCATATAACTCTTCCTCCCTACTTATTAATTTATATACATAGAAACTATTCTTTTCGGTAAATTTCATAAAGGACATGTATGCAATCTTAAGGAGTTTAGAATATATGGTGGGATGGAACCTAATAGTATCTGTACTGAATTATTACATGATGGTATATTATTAATAATATTACTTTGGAAAAACATGAAAATATATTTATATACATTCATCTGAAAAAAAAAAAAAAAAAAAAAAAAGGTTTAAAGAATAATGCAGAACCAGAGACCTTTCCATTAAAATATCAGCATAATAATTTGGTAATATGACACTTACATATAGAAATAGTATATCATATTAACATATAAGCAAAAAAAAAAAAAAAAAAAAAAAAAAAAAAAAAAAAAAAGGTATTTCCAATTAAATACCTTAAAATAGTTCCATTATCAGCCTTTGGACCTAATTTTAACTATAGTATTTGGTACATTGAAATCCAGGGTATACGTGATGAGTTCATCATTCAAAGAACCTGCTCAGAATATGAAAATGTGAGTCTCCATTTATATAAATAACACCTAATATGTGTATAATAAAAGAAAGAAAGAAAGAAAAAATTAATTTTTTTTAATATATGTGTATCAAGTTTATAGAAATTGAAACAACACGCCTATGTCTAAAGTATTTACGACAAAAAAATATGATGGATGCATTTCACATCGTAAAAGCTAGAACAAATATAGAGTTAGAGGATCCAATGATAACAGCTTTACATCGTCATCTTGTGATTGAAACTAATTACAAAGCAGCCGAAAAAGTAGTATTACATGCCTATAAACAAAATAATATGTTTGAGCATTATGCAAAAGAATCAGAATATAAACCGAAATGGAGAAAGCTAAATCCTACTTCCACAAATTGTAATGAATTGCCTTCTGCAAGAGGTGGACATCAAATGTGTATTGATATTAAAGATAAAAAAATATATCTCTTTGGGGGTTGGAATGGAACTCAAGATTTATCTGATTTTTGGTATTACGATATTAGACAGAATCAATGGCATCTTATAAGTATGAATACAGAAAAGTAAGTGATAGATAGATAAATAAATGTCATACATAAGGAGGAACCTAAATTAAGTTTAATTTATGATCAAGTCAGGGAGGGCCTAGTCCTCGTTCTTGTCATAAAATTTGCTTTGATTCAGTTAGTAAATCAATCTACGTCCTAGGACGTTATGTTGAATCAGAAGATATAACTGATCAAGAGCTTCATTCTGATTTTTATCAATATCATATAGAAAATGATAAATGGATTAAAATTCATGATAATACAGCAGTAGGGCAAAATATATATGTATAAATGTATAAATGTATATATGTATATATATGTATATGTATATGTATATGTATATATGTATATATGTATATATATGTATATATGTATATATGTATATGTATATACGTATATGTGCGTATATGTATACATGTATATGTATATATTAATATTTTCCTTATCTAGAATGAAGGTGGCCCAGAATTGCTATTTGATCATCAAATGTGCATAGATACTGAAAAGCAGATTTTATACGTATTTGGTGGTAGAATTGTTACTAAAAATCCAAATAGTTTAAATTATGGAGGTTTATATGCATATAGTCTAGAGTTGAACCGCTGGTTAACTTTGAGGTAAGAATTAGAATCCTATTTTACATGAAAAGAAAAATAGATGAATATATTAATATTCTCGCTTAGGGATGACGATAGAGAGGTTAATAATCATAACAATTCCCTTAATCAGACAGGACTACCTAAATCAAGAATTGGACATTCAATGCTATTCGATCAGGTGAATGGACAGCTTTATATATTTGCAGGGCAAAGGGAAAGAGAATACTTGACAGATCTTTATAGATATTCAACACATGATAATACAACTACTGAAATTATTCAAGACTTTTATAAAAGCACAGGCTCAGCTCTCGGCTTTACGCAAAGAGCTACTTTAGATGAAGACCTTCAAGAGATCTATGTTTTATCAGGTTATACACGCAATGCAACACATGATCTAATTCGATATGAGTTTTCAGTGTATTCCATTCAACAAAATGAATGGAAAAAGCTCTACCAGAAGGAGAGTCATCATGGAGAACGTATGGATTACGACAGTCTAATTGAACCCTGTCCACGATTTGCTCATCAAATGGTTTATGATTCACTAACAAAACGACATTATATTTTCGGTGGGAATCCAGGAGGAGAAAATCATCCTAGTCAACGATTAGATGATTTTTGGGAACTTCGGCTTATAAAGTAACTACACATATAGATAGATGGAAAGCTTTTTTTTTTCTATGAAAAGGAGAAAATGATAGTTATTTATTCACATAATTCATTTGATATAGGGATAATCCAATTTCTATATTAAGAAAAAGTCTTTTCATGATTCGTATGCAAAAATTAAAAGAATTATGTAGTAGAGCCTATAATCAACAGTATAAAAAAGTAAAAATAGGAGACTATGTTGTAACTTCAGATACGTTAGCAGCATTAGACTATTTAAGAAACTACATTGTTCCTGTTGTAAATGAAGATGATGTATCAGACTTGAAAGAGTTTCGTCAAATGTGTACAAATTTATGTTTATTAGAAGCAATGATAGAAGACAACGACGAAGATATCAAGGATATATTTATGAAATCTCAAGGTAAGAATTAAAAATAAAATGGGTAGAATATTTGTTAGCATATAATAATTTATTCTTTGCCTTCTATTTTTAGATATGTTGCATGCAGAAAGAACTAAACTATTTGAGAAATTACTAATATACATTCCTCAACAGATGAAAGAGCCTTTAGGGAAGTTAACAGATGTTATTAAATTAATATAAACAAAGCTTATGCACACTTAAACAGATTATCTTTTTTCTTTTTCTTTTCTTTTCTTTTTCTTTAAATATTAATAATAAACAAAACAAAACAAAAATGATAGTTGATCCAAGCTCAAAAAATAGGTTAATTATAGTACATGGTGTTCTTATGGTATTTGTATGGCTATTTGCTGTACCTTTTGCTGTAGGAATAAATATATATGCCAGAAAAAAAGGTTTTGCTTGGGGGCCTAAAGTACATATGATAGTTATGGCTACTTTTGTCTTGATACCTTTTACAATATCATCTGTAATAGCTTTTGTTATATCTGGAGAGCTTAAGCTAAGACCTCATTCAGTAAGTTATGATGTTTATTATATACAAGAAGGATCCTATTGATTATTATTGATATTAGAGTATTGGAACTGTATTATCTTTTGGAATATGGATTCAAGTAACATTAGGTGTAACCAATCATCTTGTTTTTCGATATAGACTCAAGAATAATTGCTTACCTGATAAACGTCCCTGGAATAATCATGTTCATATTTGGTTTGGAAGAGGACTGTTATTGTTAGCTGCTGTTAATATACCATTAGGTATGAGAATGAAGAGAGTACCTCTAGGTATGTTTATTGCTTATGCTATCTGGATGTCTATTTTGTTTATTACCTTTATCTGTTTAATTTGGATGAAAGAAGAAAAATCATTACCAAAAATAAAGGAAATAAACGAAAATGTATCAGAGAAAGCGATATGTATAGATATAAATGCAAGAAAAGGAAGAATAGATAACAACCTTAATGAAGTAGTATCTTCCCCAAAAAAAATGAAGAAATAACCAAATAACAGTAGACATATTTACAATATTGATATTATTATATAATAAATTAAATTTAAATCCCGGTCTTTGCCCTAAAATTATAAATAAAATAGAAATTAGTTTTTTTTTTTTTTTTTTTTTTTTTCTAATTTTTGTTAAAAAAAAAAAGATACATATTCATATACATATAATGACAACGATTTTAACAGAGATAACAGAAAAAGAACAACAGAAATTATTAATAGAAAAATCAAATCAAACCTATTCTTCTTTACAATTAAATGTAACAAATGAAAAAGAGTTGCCTGCAAAATATATTTCAACTGCAAATACAATAGAAACTAAACAAGAATTAACGAATAGAAGTAGAATCCTTAGAAATAAAGAAGATAATAGTTCAATTTATCATATATTCCTTAAATCAATACTTTATACACTTCATTTTGTATATATTTTCTTTACCTCTATTAGACTGCTTAATACATATCTTTATAATTTATACATTTCTACGAGATATGATGATATTCGAAAACGCATACAACATGATAAATTACAATTAACAAAGATACCAAATCATCTTACTATTATTATCTCTCGTGAATTATTAAGTACAAGGTCATGTCAAGATTGGGAAAGAATTATGTCTGAAATATCTACACTTACTTGTTGGGCTTATGAATTTGGTACAAAAGAGATATCAGTTTATGATGCAACAGGTAATAGCAAAACAAAAAAAAAATAGACAGGTATACCATTAAGATGCAAATGTAATTGAAACTTAATAATTGAAAAAAAAAAAAAAAAAAAAAAAAAAAAAAAAAAAAAAGGTGTGTTAAAATCAATGGCAGTGAAACTACATGAACAACAATCTACGGCATTAAATGATTGGAAGAATAAATTTGAATTAACTAAAGAAGAAAAAAATAAACCAGGTACATCTTTGTCATGAATAGAATTGTACGATTAAATATTAACTGTTGAAAAAAAAAAAAAAAAAAAAAAAAAAAAAAAATAGAAATCAAATTTTCAATTTTATCATCTGAAAATGGAAAACCTTATATTGGACGTGTAACACAACAATTGGCTTGTAATCATTTGAACGATAATATTGATATTAATTTAGTAAATCAATATATGCATAGTAAAGTATATACATTCTACTTTATATACATGGTTAAATTTATTTATTTATTTATTTTTTATACATAGTAGACACTATTTCTGATCCAGATCTCATGATTATATTTGATGGTTTACCACATAATTACATTTCCTTAGATGATTATCCTCCTTGGCATATTAGATTAACAGAAATGATGTAAGCTTTACATTCATCTTTCTCTTAATATATACATACATATTGAATATTAATTGTTTCATTCAATATTTAGGAATTGCTTTAATTGTCATTATTTAGATTATAACTTATTTTCTAAATGTTTATATAAATTTTCAAAAGTAGAACAACGATTGGGTCGATAAAATAAAATATTATCTTTATTTATTATATGATCCTTGTTTCTTGGAAGAACTTTGACCTATTTTAAAAAAGTTTTGGATCTTCATTGAAAATTTACCATCATTTGAAAGATGTGCTGCTTGCTTTTTGTCTGTTAATTTAGATAATCCCTGCTTCTGGATGCGTTTTAATTCTTTACAATTTTCAATTGAAATAACATTAGCCTTATAAGAAGCAAAGAGATTATTGTCCTTCTCTTTTGCTATAATCTGTTTGTATAGATGTTTTGAAAAGTCACCATGTATATTGCACTGATGATCACCTATATCTTTATGTGTCTTTGTTAATTGGCATAATCGACATGAACATAGGTTATTCTTTTGTGAAAAGGAGCTACTGTGCTGATAATACTGCTTACATAAAAAGGCTTCATATCCTTTAAACTTCTCACTTTTTAAGAATGAATCTATTTCAGAAAGACAGTTCTGCGTTATTATTGTAGTCGAAAAATTGGATTTATGAATAGATTCAAGAGAGTTTTGAGCATGGACTCTTCTGATATCCTCTATGCTATTACTCTTTTGTAGCTTTAGTGGCATTGAAGTTCGTTTTGATTTCATTTCATGTTCCTTACTGTCTTGAGGAGAGAATGTATAGAATCGAGCAAGCTGATGACATATTAATATATATTGTTCCTTATATCTTACAAATGATTGAACATTTTTGTTATTAAAGCAGACACCTAATAAATTGATATATTCATTGCCTCTTCTGATATGATCATTACAAATGTCAAAACATTTATTTTGTTTTCTTCTTAATTGACTTTCCCAAGCAAGATTATTATAAAGAGCACCTATTGTATCCATATCATGACGTAGCTGTATACTTTTTTTTTTGATTTTCCAACTTAAATCCTCATAATTCACTCTATATTCCTTACAGCTGTCAATCTCAATTCCTAGGATAGATTGAATAATACATTTTAATTGTTTATGTAACGATTGCTCGTCAGAGTTAAAGTCTTCACTTGATTCCATCTCTGTCTCAATAGTCTTTAACTTTTCTTCAATTTCAACTGTAGTCTGCGTTAGCCATTTATTTTTTTCGTATGTCTTCTTTATAACTGTGTTTTTCTGTTGAATTTCGTCTTTTATTTTCTGTATTTCTCCGTTATAAACCCTTTCAATTTCTTGCTCCCAAATTTTGAACAATAAATGAATGACTTCATCTTCATTTAAAATGTCTTTTAACTCCTGTTGTTTTAATTTTATACTATGTTCTTTTAAAAATTTGCTTTGTGGAATCATTATTGTTTGAAAAAGAGAAGTTGTATCAGCTAATATTTCGTTAAATAATTCGTTTGATTGTATTAATTTTTCATCTTGAGTATTCTTTAGATTCTCTAGTAAATAAAACTTGAATTTGTACTTTAATAAATTAAAAATAAAATAAAAAGGATAGCTCTGTACCTACTTTTTTTTTTAGTATATTGAATATTTAAAGTAAAAAGGAAAAAAAAACCCCCAATTATATTTATGAATTAATAAAGAAACTTGTAATACCTGCTAGGTTACTGGAGCATTCCTTTTGCACTTGTTGACTATAATCGATATCTGTAATTATTGAGATATAAAGGAGAATAAGTTTATCTTAATGATAACTATTATTTTATTACTTTTCGATTCTTCATGTATTGTTGAATTCGGTTTTTCACTGTTAAATACTAAGCTAGAGTTTCTTGAATATTTTATTTTTTGACTATCCTCGTTACGATGAGATGTTACTGCTATTAAAATGTCTGTCGGTTGAGTAGTGTCATCATTTTTTATGTTTCCTACAGTCAAGTTACTCATACTTTTTAATAAAAAGGAAAAGAAAAGAAAGAAATAAAGAGAAAAAGGTTTATACAATAGTATATTTTTCTTGTTACATTATAGCCGAGCCACATGTATATCAGGTAACCACATGAAGATAGGGAAAAAAAATTACTTTTCTTAGGCATTAATAACGCATCATCTTGCACATCAATTAAATAATATATTATACTGAGTGAAATAAACAGTATATGTTTATTTCTTTAAAGAAAATGTATACCAAACATAAAAAATAAACTTACACAAATAACTTTAAAAAAAAAACAGTAGTAAATCAAACAAACTTTGTAACATTCAACCTGTGATAATGATTTCATAGGCATTATTACTGAATCTTAATCAATCTCTGTAAATTTAAATATACAAGATTAACCCTATTTCAACGAATATCTTCTTTCTATAATTATAAATACGTTTATATGACAGCTCCAATAGTAATAATTAACAAAATTATATGTATAATTTTACAATAAAAAAAAAGAAGAGTACAAGATATGGTTTATATAAAATAAAATAAATTATATAGAAATCAGAATTACTCACTCACTCGTATATATGAATATGTCTACTATAGAGAGAAAGCATTAAAATAAAATTATACTTGTGATTTACGATAGAAACAAAAGAGTAATCAAGAGTCATAAAAAAATTATTCATAAGTAGTGGGGTTTAAAACTTTTTTTAGGAATTATACATACAATTGTTTCATTTTTTTTTTTTTTTTTTTTTTTTTTTTGTTCTTTCTTCCTTCTTTCCTTCTTTTATTGTTCTATACCATACTTTATATACAGATGTCTACTGAAGCACTGATTTCACAAAATAAAGATAGACCAAATCTACTGTATTCAAAAGAGAAATTATTAAAATTATATGGTATTGATCTCTTTTCTGCCGTTTCTTCTGCCGCTCTGGTTTCACCATTTATTGCTGTTGTTGATAGGTCTATTATCGAGAATTTAAATGGTAAAAGGAATTTGATGGACGGTTTAAAGTATGGATTTCGTTCTTTTACAGCACAACCTTTTAAGTTTGTTTCATCAGCACAGTTTCGTATTGTATTGGGTCTTTATTTCTCCACTTATGCTACTGCTAATTTTGTAGATACCACATGTGAACAATATTCAATAGAAGGAACAAAAACGGCTATGTACAAGTTTATTTCTACGACAGCTGTCAATATCACACTCTGTGTATATAAAGATAAAGTATTTGCTCGAATGTTTGGTGTAGCTGCTACTAGAGCATTACCAAAACTAAGTTATCTTCTATTTGCGGCAAGAGATTCTCTTACGATTGCAGCGAGTTTTACAGCACCATCCTATATTGCAAATATCCTTCAAAACAGCTCTCTTGTTTCGAGTGAAAAAACAGCTAATGTAGTATCACAATTAATATGTCCTGCAGCTGTACAGTTCGTAAGCACACCAGTTCATCTTTTTGCTCTCGATATCTATAATCGACCTGGAATCATGTCAAGCATGAGATATCAACTAATCAGAAAGGAATATCTTAAGAGTACATTTGCAAGAATTGGACGTATTGGTCCAGCTTTTGGATTTGGTGGTGTTGGAAATACATATTTTAGAAGTTTTAGAAATCAAATACAATAACTCATACCTTTCTTTTTTCCCACGATCTGACTTTAACAATCTAATAGACTTTTCCCCTTCCCTTATAAGTATAATTAAGGCACTATTTTGCCAAATTTAATAAATATATACATCTATGTTGTATCATAATGCATACAAAAAATTACATTTTTTAAAACTCATATATTCATTACTATTGGATATATGTTTATCTAATAAATAGTTTTTTTTTTTCTTTAGTCTATATGCAGTCTAACTTGCTACAAAACAAAAATACTATTATTAACGAACACATCGCTACTATTATTATTATTATTATAATAAAAATGTTCTTGTTTCTCATATTTATCATTCAAAAATGTATATTACTATTGATATATCTGTACATGATATATAACAATAAGTGGAAAAAATGAATATTATTATCTATTGTTCAATAACTTGAATTCATCAAAGATGATGCCATATTTCACTATCTGTGGAATAGAGTGGACAGATCTGATCAAGCTTCATCAACAATAGTAATATCACACTGTATATTATTTATTAACCTGATGTAGTTTTGTAGTAAATGAAAAAGGAGTCTTTTTTATTTTTTTTAAAAAAAAAAAAACTTACATACATATTGGGTTAATTCCACAAATAAATATAATAAGATTAATATTACAATATAATGATCGTCGTCAGACCTTTGACAAATAATACACCAACAGCATATACACATGAATATCTGAAAATATAAAGTAAAAAAAAACAGGGAAGCAAAAAATTGCAAAAAGAAGTGAAGAGAGTGGGATTTGAACCCACGCCTCCGAAGAGATCACGACCTTAACGTGACGCCTTAGACCAACTCGGCCATCTCTCCCTTGATTTTCTAAATTTTTTGTATAATATATGGTTAATTTGCGATTTCGGAGAGGCACTGCAGATAAAGTCTATTTTCACAATTGTTAAATGTTTGTAAAAGTAGACCTTTCACAATTGTAAAAGGTGACCTTTTACAAGAATTTTCGAAAAGTTGGAATAAATTAAAAAAAATTATATCTTCTGAAAGCGACATTTTTTCTGATTCAGAATGTATTTATTTTATCTTATTTGGTCAAGAATTCATCGAGTTATTATCATTTGAAAGTTTACTTTTCGCTTACATGCAATGCAAATTTCTGGGGTTTACATATTTTTTTTATTGAGAATGAAATTGAATTTTATTGATAATCCCTTCAATAATTGTGATTGGCTAAATATGCATAGTGATAATTTTTTTTAATCTTGTTACTTTTTTTTTTTAACAAAGTCGTGAAGTATGCGTACCTATTTTTGTTATAAAATATATTCTATTCAATTTTAGAAGAGGGCATAAGCATGTTATATGAGCATTTAACGTACATTAAAAAGTTTCAACAATAAAGGTGAATAT